GATTTGAGTCAGAGAGACGATGTTGCTCAGAGTGGTAACCGCCCCCCCCCCCCCAGCCCCCGTCCACAGACACACACAGCTCATTAAACAACGCCACTGTGACCGCCACACCCAGCTGGGTTATGTGGGCGCGGTAATGTGCCCTGAACAGATGCCTCACAACGCCGAGTCCTCGTGCTGTTATCAGAGCCTCGCCTGGTCTACTTTCATTTTTCTTTTCTAAAAAACACTTTATTTATTTTTTTCCTCAAGGTGGCCTGAGGATAAATGACATGACGGATTTCCTTCAAGTTCAGCGAACGCACACTGGGAGGGTTGTTGTTGTTGTTGGGGTTTCTTTTTTGCAGGATGAACCCATTCACGCCCGGTTTCGCCACCCGTGTTTCTTCTCACTCGTTAGCGGAATTCGGCTGTGACCGACTGAAGGGAAAATAGAAAGACGCGGCGCCACAGACGAGTTCATTCCCACCAGCGAAAATGCTATTCGAGATGTTTTTTTTGGGCCCCTGAAGTCCAGCGGAAATCACGGTTCCGTAGCCGCGCCTCTGCATCGACGCACGTGAGCCCGACCAACATCTACATGAATGAAACGCACTCGTGAATCAGAGTCAACTCAAAAAGCACCTGGTGGTGCAGGTGTGGGGGGGGGGTCGCCTCCTTCGCAGGTGAGCGTCTGAGCAAAGAGTGGCGGCAAAGTGATTTGAGGGGGAGTGATGAGAGTGTGCGAGTCCTGCTACGCTTTGTGAATGTAACCTACCACTTTGCTCTAATATCATCAGTTCGCTCTCACACACACACACACACACACACACGAGTGGAGTATCCAGCTATAAATAAATGATTGAGGACTTTGGGTTGGGAGCAACTTTACGCTTGTTTGTTTTGTAGTCACATCTCAGTTGCATTGAATCGTTTGAAAGAGAAATCCTCGCTGTCCTCCAAATGCCCCGGCGACCCGGGGAGGTTTTTTCAACAGTAAGGCAGCACACAATATGATTAACTTTTTGCACCGTGTACATTAAGGAGTCTCTGTGCGTGTGTGTGTGTGTGTGTGTGTGTGTGTGTATCCAGGCAGCAGCGCTGTAAGCCTGACAGCTGCCTCGGGCGCACACAGGAGATGCTTGATGGGAGTCACAGAGGACAAACAAGCTGTACATCAACAAAATGCTCTGCAGGATGATACAGCGAGAGGCCAAACGGATGCAGAAAGCCCGCTGCAGCTGCAAAGAACGAAGGAGGTGGACGGGAAAACATATGGCCTCCTTTCCGCCGATTAGAACGTAAAGTAAATGTTCTTAATAATTAAACTATTTTCAACGCTTTCCCTCCGTCCGTGAAGCGCCGGCCAGATCTCGCGGTCGGTCAGGCTTTGAATCCGGCTTTCACTGGAGCGGCGTGCTTTTTTTCCTCGTGAGATGTATTCCCAGTGACGCCACGTATAAACTTCCTACCCATTGCTTTTATTTAACTACCTAAAAAACTACGCATGGCCGGTTTTTATGGCATCTGTGGGCCGAACGTCGCAAAGCTATTTTTTCCCTTTCGGGTGAGGGCCTCACACGTGTCTGCGCGGCGAACAGGGGCGGGAGCGCGGAGGACGGCAGCCTGAGAATACCCAGGGACGGAGAGACACTAATTGCTAATTGTCATGCTCCGTTGCTGTAGGAACAGTCTCGCACTCGCAGCTCGGCGGCGTTTCTCAGGCGGCACAAACAAACCCACGCTGGCGCTGCGGAGCGCGGTGACACGCCACGCTGCTAACGAAGCAGGGTGGAGGGAGGGGGGGGGTGGAGGGGGTTCTTGGCTTGTGATCAAGTGTTTGTTTCTGTCTTTTCCGGAAAAAGTGACCGTGGCTTGGAAGTTTAAGCTCTTCGTTATACAGCAGAGCCACAGCAGCAGGATGAATGCAGCAGCCGAGCAAAGCCTGGTGCAACACTCTGAAAATCCAATATGCTTCTATATTCTCTGTTACTTACATTGTTAAACAGGGGTCAAGCACAAGGAAACTCACTACCATCTACTGAGAATCGTCTTTACGGTTGTTGTTTTTCCTTCACTTGGCCCACAGAGAGCATCATCGGGATAGTTGTAGACAACATACGCGGTGCCATTAAAATCATAAAGACGGTCCAAAGGAAGCTACGTGAGCACCAAATAGTCAATGATTCTATAGTGGAGCAGCGGGATCAGCAGCCGAGCCTTAACGGATCTTATTGTCTTATTGTATCTGCAGAAAATAAGCCACTCATAATCACCTTCAATTCACTGCAAAGAAGAAGAGAAAAAAAAAACATTTAACCACGTGTGCTCTCCTGCTCCATCCCCATGGCGGGGGAGCTGTTATGTGACCGGACTCTCTGCCTGCCCCCCCCCTTTTTTTTTTTTTAGCAACAGACGACAAATCTCTCTGCAGTGACAAAGCGTCGCCTGTCGAGAGGATGATTCCATTGAGAGGCACTTCCTGGTATGAGAGGGGCATTAATGTGATTAACCCACGCACACTATTGCTGTTTGATACGGGGGCTTAGGGGCGCATGTCACTCGGCATTCTTCTCTATTGGCACCATCCGCAGGTGACAGAGAGCGCGATGACGTGTGAGCAGGAGAACGCAACTACATCTTTATCAATTAGACCTTCTAGCACTTCTACAAACGGCTTAATGGGAGATTTCACGCAAATATTTCGCATCGGAAATTTGAGTGCGTGCGCGTCTGTGTGTGTGCACTTCATGTTATCATTTAATACTAATCAATTACACATCACAATTTCACAATATACCATTTCATCCTGTTATCGTTCCATTGAAAGATTATGAATTTACATATTGAATTATTGCTCAGCCCCAAAACAAACTCATGACCGTAAACGCTCGGAAAGGTAAATACGAAATCCACTTTGGATAATTACGGAAGAAAAGTGTATTCTGCCGACTAAACATGTCTCCGTTATACCCCCGCCAATTACCGACCATTAAAATGATTGAAGATAAAATGACAATCATCTTTCATTTAAAAAAGAAATGCTATTATCCCAACACCCTTAAGGAGTTTTAGTATTTCAATTAATTACCATCGCCGTTAAACACGCTGGTTTTCTTTCATCGCCGTCTCAAACATCATCACCAACGGAACCGGCCGGAAGCGCAGATGCTGACGCGCTGCATCCGTTCACACAGCCGATGTCCTCGGCTCCACTCGGCCGGGCCACAGGCTCCTGTGTGTGTTTTGGGCTCTGCCCTCATTTCTAAATAACTCGGCGCCCAACTTCTTCCCCCCCCCTAGACAGCGACGGGTAGGGCACGTGTGCGCGGGGATGGATGAGGGCGAGTGAAGTGCTGCGGTGCGACTCTTTCGATCAATGGCGGAGGGGTAGAGGGGATAAATAGCCCCTCGCGTCCCTCACATCCCGTCTCTCTCCTCCCAGTCGGCAGCCTCAGCAGCTCCAGTGTGGGCAAGGCGGGCGGCGTGCAGGAGGCTTCTTATAGGGGTGTGTATAGGGGTGTGTTGAACATCTGCCCCCCCTCCCCCAGAGAGCCGGTCAGTCGGCGGCCGGGGCGGCCGGCGTGTCGTGGGCCGTTCCGGGGCCTCCTGCTAACAGCTGATCCTCGAGGCCCACTGCCTCCACCGGCGTGGAGAAAATCCACTCGCCGACTCAATTATGTAAGAGGTGTGAATTATACATGAGGCTGCCGCACAGGAAGGAATGCACACGCACACACGCACGCGCACACACGCACACGCACACACACACACCGGATGTGTAATCATACAATTCGGACGCCACGGGGGATTTGTGAGGCGAGCAACGCGCTGCAGAGGAGCTGATCCACGCCGGATGGAACGTCACGTGCAAATCAAGCAGAACACGGGCGTACGGAACAGACAGTAGGGTGACGGGGAGGGGGGGGGGCAGGGTGATGAGGGATGGTCTTTGCTACATCCCTTTAAAGAGAAGAGGGGGGGGGTTAAAGACCTTTGTGTGGGATTTAATTCCCAGAGCGGTTCCCCCCCCCCCCCCCCCCCCTCGCTCCCTCGTTCATGTGCCCTTTATTAATCATCCTTGGTCAGTGGGGCAGAGACGGGGGTGTTGGGAGCTCTGGGGAGGGCACAGCCGGGGAACACACACACACACACGCGCGCGCGCGCTTTCATGTGCGTAAATCTAGGCAACTAACATTTTCCATCTTGTTTGCTTACAAAAGATATGAAAATTAATAACATTTACACCAAAAAAATATATAAAAGCATCATATGGCATCATGGTGCAAGTGGCACGTGCACGCAGCAGATCTTCAGGCCTACTGACGTTCTGGGACTCAGCTGCTGCTGCCGTGACCTTTCTATTTGAACACTCTCAGTTGTGGCCGAGGGATTCCATCCCCGGCATACAAACAACCATCTCCCTCTGCGCCACACACACACACACACACACAACTGTATCTCCTCAGAGCCACTGAAACCCTTCACCTGAGCTATAGCACGGACCAGAACCAGAAACCAGAACCAGCCCGGCTATTAGAGCTCATGACCAGGGTGGTCGGACGTGGCAGCCAGCCGTCCTTGGAGAGCTGGCCGGTACCACCGGGGTCGAGTGCTGCAGCCACTCCGGCTTGGCTGTGGCCAATGGGAAGCGGCGTAGACTGAATAATGGAGGATGTATTTAGGCCTTATTTCTATGCATTTAAGTGCACTTAGCCGGGAAGGCTGCAACTGGGCTGCATGCCATTTTTACCATTATCACTATTCCATCTCCCTGAGAAAGTGGGGGGAGTGTCCCTTTAAGTGAGATCTTTTTGAGGCTGTGGAAGGTCTACAGCAAAAGTCCCTTTATTCACCTCTTTTTTTATTTCTGCTTTACAAAGTAGGCTGATTTTGTTTGTCATATAACATGGAGACCATTGACCTATGTTCAATGTTCATTTACATGTCATTAGAGTTTGTCTGGAGATGACCGTGGAATGGCACTGATAGGAGGGTAGGAGGGGGGGAGCGAGACGCACCTGGTTTCACCGTCTTCAAGCGAACCGGCTCCCGAAAGTGGCGGATGACCGCCAGGGTGTCCCGGTTTGTAAGTCCACTGACGGGCGTCCCGTTCACCTCCAGCAGGACGTCGCCGTAGTAGGGCAGCTTCCCCACGTGACACGCCAGCACGTCCAGCTTCATCTGGCCCAGGTACGGGAACTGGCCCAGCTCCGCTCCTCCGAGGACCTCCACCACGGTGCCAAAGTCGCCCAGGTTGCCCCATGACACCGCGCACTCCACCACTTTGCCGGACCAGTGTTTCTTCTTCTTCAGCGTCCTGGACATGGCTGCTCTGCTCTGCTCTGCTCTCCTCTCTGCTCCCCTTGGCGAACGGCTAGCGATCAACGTGGGCACCTCGGCGTGCGGTCGTTAGACGGAGAGACGCGGCCCGGTAAAACCTCCTGAGTTGTTCGCTCGACCTGCTGCTGCTGCTGCTGCTGCTGCTGCTGGGATTTCATATCCATGACATTTAGGAGCCCGATTTTCACCCCGGGAATCCGCCGCCGAGGTGCGTCATCCCACGGGTTTGTGCGCGCACAGCCGCCCCGGTTGCGATAAATCCGAGCGCTCCCCGTGCGTAAACCCCCCCCCAACCCCCTCCCCCCTCCAAAAAAACCCAGGAGGGTTAGAAAGCGGCGAGATGACTTCAAGAGGACCGATTCAGTGTGTCCCTCTCTCCGACGCGCCGCTTCGTCCGCGGTTTTGGAGGTGAGGGGCTGAGGGGGTGAGGGGTGGGGGGTGGGGGGTCCAAACTAAAATGTAAACAGAGAGTATCTCACTCACTCGGCGGATCGTGGTGCGTCAACGAGAAGTCCCTCGTACCTGCGCTACGCGGCGGTTGAGATCCGGCCCCGCGGTGACTGAGCCCAGAGACATCTGCTGCAGGTTTGGACACACCTGGAGAAACGTTGCCGAGCTCCCGAAACGCCCCCTTTTTCTCCCCCCTCCCTCCCTCCCCCTTTTTGTTTTCGACGCTCCGCAACAGCAGCAGCAGGAGCGGCGGTTCGGAGACGCTCACGCTGGCTCCATCCGCTGGTGTGCGGAGGTATTGAATGGAGATCAAACCCACGCACGCACTATGAGTCCAGTAATGTCCACTGTAATTAATTGTCCTTTTAGTCCTTGTTTAAAATAAACAGCGACGTGTATCTGTGTTTTATTTAACCGTGACCGGGCAGAACACGTGGAGGAAGTAAGACTAGATCAAATCACGGCGCGTGTAATTGCGATAATAACCGTGCAGAACAAATCGCGCCTCATTAACAATCTTAATTTGCACCGAGTGGGGTAAATATTCTCGCGCTCGTGCCGCGCGTCTCCACAGCGCCACCCACCGACGCAATGTGAGAGACTCACCTGCTCAGGTCCAAGTCCTAAAGTGGCTTTGGATGTGTCATCATTCGTGAGTCCGGTGCAGAAGATCGGACCTTTTTATTAAATGATGTGCGTTGGCCTGAGAGCACATACGTGATGCGATTACCAGCCTGCCATTAATGTTGGTTTCGTGATGAAACAAAGCCGGAGCTTGATGACAAAGTCAAAATAATACTAAATAGAAGAGTTTTCAGTGTAAATGAATTCGGGGGAATGATGATGATGATCAGCGATGCCGTCGTGTCCAAAAACAAACCGCAGACCCGTAAAAGGATTCCAAGCAGTCGGGATTCAACTCGTCCAGAAACCAGCTCTTTTTTTTTTTTTCTTCTTCACGTGGAGACTGTTGATGGACTAAGTTTTCTTTAAGGCCCACATTAGCGGGCTTAGCGCTGGCTTGACACGACTAAATCCAGATTATGGACGGCTTGGCCTTTTAAATCGTTCCGTGTTGTGCCCAGAAATCGGGTTTTACATGCAACCCAAATCAAATCCAGCGAGAACTTTGTCCCTCATCCTTTTTTAAGCCCATCACAGAAATCTAAGAGACATTACTGGAGCAATTGTCGAAACAGGAAATGAACTATTTTGATGTAAGATCAAACATGATAAAAACCAACCAATATTTGCTGAGCTGCTTTTCTCCACACACACACACACACACACGTATTATATATAAATCTCTATCTTTAGGTTTCGAATGAACCAAACATGTAGAAAATAGTGGGCGATGTAGTCGACAGTGAGTAATCCTAGAGGAACGTTGATGCAGACAACGACAATCCAAGCCCAAGTACCAGAATCAGCGTTTAATGTCAGAGTAATGGCGACGTAACAAAAAGGCCCTTGAGACATGCTTTACACAACGTACAGGTAAACAAGGTCCAACCAAACGACTGACAACAAAAAAAGACAAAACTTCAGCGAAAAAAAAAAAAAAAGAAGGAAAAAGCAGCATTGGATATTGCCGGAGCATTCACTGTTAAACTTTGGTACGAAGGAGGATTAAAAGAACGCTGACGCACATTCCGTTGTGCCGTGTTGGCGAAAAAAATGAAAACAGCGAAGAGTCAAGAAAAAAAAAAAAAAACATCAAGAAAACAAAAATCTGCTTTCGTCTGCAATTCAGGTCCGTGGTACGACGCTTCCACGTTCAGAGCGGCGGTGCTGCTGAAGTTAGAAATTATGAGACACTGCGCCAACGTTCTGACTCTAACGGATGTGACTGTGTCTGAACTCGATGGGATGGAACATCGGGGGAGGGGGGGGGGGGGGGGGGGGGGGAAAAAGAGAAAAAGCCCTGTTTTTAAACCCTAATGTGAGTCGCTCTCGTTTATAGCGTCAGCAAAATGAACTGTAATGCACTCTCACGGGCATGACAGATGTTTGAATTAGGAATATGTGAAAATACCTGAGGTGAGAACGGGAGACAAACGAAAAGACTCATCCTTCAATTCAAAAGTGTACAAACTACATTCTCCAAAATGAGCATAGAATTGAGTCAACACCTCTTTAAAACAATTCCAAAAACCTGAATATTCATGGCGGTTGATTTATTGCAGCTATTAGAATGAATTAGCTCGAACAATCGAGTCTTTTCTGAGAGTCAAAACCGAACAACTTTGAAGTGCAATAATCGAGAGGTTTTTAACAGGAAAATTCATGCCATCCAATGCGACAAAAGGCCTTTTGGACGAGAGCCATTTATATTTTCAAATCCTCAAATGGAATTAAGAGCCTACGTGTGGGAACAGAGGAGTGTGTTTACCGTCTTTCATTTAGGAGGAAAATCCTTGTTTCCTGAACAAACGGTTATAAACGCTGAGTCAACAAGGCCTGAACAAGCTTAAAAGAACTGCAGCACGTGTGCGAGTAGACTAGTAGGACATGGAATAGATTACCAGCATTATGTACATATACACATACGTAGAAAATAATACAATACATTCTAACTTTTCACAGTCCCAAGTGAAAACTTAAGCTTAATCAACATCTACGGAAGGATCAGGAACGATTCGAGATAAAACTGGTGATAAATCCTCTTAGTAACACAGCGTGACTACTGCGTGATAAATGTACCACCGTTAAATTAAGTGCCTAAGGTATGATAAGAGAGGGGGGGGCAATCAGTGCATACTGTGTATATACATACGCCATTAATGCCACCTGACCGAGGTTACTGAGAATGCTCGTTTAAAAAGGCAGACAGCCATTAGAAAGTAGCCAGCAAAACCATGATTGTCACATGTGCAAAAAACATGTCACGCTTCCTCCCCAAAGTGCTCATCACCACGAGGACATCGACAACGAAGGGATTAGCAATCGCAAGTTGACATTGGACAAAAACAAGATTGGATAAAGATGATATCGGCTATATAGTCATATATATATATTCATAATGTACACCACATTTTGGTGTCAATGTCTTTTGAACAAGATACCACGTGGCAGCGTGTTGAGTCGGGATGGCTGTGGGAACGTTGGGCGCATTAGACGTTCCTTCCTACATCACCACCACAAACTGCTGGTCATGGAACTTGCAACTGGTACCGTAAGCGGGTCAAAACCTCCCTTCCTGGAAATCGGCGGTTCAGTCATTCGACGGCCGCTCCACCAGAGCGCCAGCGGGACGGAAGAGAGAGCTCGCCAGAGACTCCACCGTGTCTCGGCGTTCCCTCTCTAAAGCATACATTCATAGCGTGGAGCAGGTGGAGGCGTCATGGAGGAGCTCACTCAAAATCACCGGTCCGTTTCTCCAGTTCCACGCGGCTTGCACGTCCTCTCGAGAGAAAAGGGGAATGTAAACAGAGCATCTTTGGCAGAATGTGAGGAGTCTCTTTGGAGGTAGTGGGTCGGGAAAGGGGTGGGGGGGGGCGGAGCCTGGGTGGAGTGCGAGGACTATGTGGGAGCAGGACGCTCCTGAGGGTTAGTCCTATCAGAGGCACTTCTGTGGTCCCGTGTGCACCGGCTGGATAAAGCGTCCGCCTCGCTGCGTTGCTCCGCCCCGTCGGCAGCGGAGGTCGGAGGCGGAGTCCTGTGAACCGTCACCGGGTGCTGTGACGCCCCTCTTTGGGGTTTAGTGGGCGGACCTTCCTCTTCTCCCCAGAAGGGACGGCAGAGGAAATCTGAAAAAGGCGGTAAAACACAAAAATTAGACGGCTACGTGTCATCGCCCCTCAAACTGAAAAAACAATCACAATTTAACAGCCAGAAAGTCAAGTAATGCATCAGGAAACACAAATATCCTTCGACTTCGAAGTTGCAACCTAACTTGAAAACCTTTAGATTTAAGGATGTTGGCGATTAATGAATGTTGTTGTTGTTTTTCTTCTAAATCTTAGTAATGCGTCATAACGTTAGAAAACGTGCATTTTAGACACTGTTGTTTAATTGGTAATGTCATTTCAAAACGTCATCTTGGAGGCAGCTCTTCCAGATAGCTTAGCCTAGCAGCTAGCTTAGCAAAGCGCTTTAAGGGGTCAGTTTGCCACTCATCCCCCCTTCTGTTTGACTCGTGTTAAAATATTATAACAATTAATAACAATATAATAACACTTGCAACAATTGTAATTTCATTTTTAGTAAACTAAAAATGAATTCGTAGATTATAAGCATAAACCACAGTTTAATTGATTAAAAAGCTGTTTCTCATTTAATCTCAACAGGGAATAGAGTGTTGAGCTGCAGGCTGCGAGTACTTAGATCAGCCTTCGTGTATCACTGTTTTCAGGCCTCACCGTCGGCGTAGTGCTCCGGCCTCTTGGCGTGCGAGGCGAGGAAGTCGGAGGGGTCCACACCGCCGCCGAGGTTCTCCAGCGCCCGGTCGCCGTGCTGGGACGGCTCGCCGAAGCTCCCCGCCGGGCCCGGCAGGGCCTCGTCCAGCGGCTCGTCCTCCCCCAGGTAGGCGTACGGGCAGTACTCCCGCGTGCGAGAGTAGATGTTGGCGTTGTCGTAGCAGTCGGAGCAGATGACCAGCGGACTCGGACCGCCACCTGGCCAGAGAGGAAGAAGCGTCCTGGTGAGTGCCGAGCCGCTTCCGGACTACGGAATGGATGAAAGCTGAACTCTGACTGAGGCTCCTTCATTTTTTTACATTTATTATTAAGTGAAAAAAAATTGAATCTTTGAAAAAAAAAATTTAGAGGCCTTTTCTCGAGACCTTGAATTTATTTCTAAATTAAAATTTTCTAAGTCGGGGGATGTAAATACATAACAACGCTTTTTGTTACAGCACAAAACATTTTTTTTTTATGTTATAAATCCATCGTCATGGGCATCTGCGCTCGTACTGCTGTAACTAATCCTGAGCAGATTATCCAGAGCAGTATGCACACTCTCTTAATAATAATAATGATAATAATCGAATAGAAATCGTAGTTTCAAAATGCTGACATTAAAAAAAACAGAAAAAAGGGAGAACAGCGCTTCAGACGCTGACCTGTGGAGAGTCCAGCGATTCCCTCTCGCGGCTCTCCGGGGTGGAAGCTGCTCCGGCCGGTGAACAGAGAGCCGACCCGGCAGTGCAGCGCGCCGTTCCCCTCCGTCTCTCCCTCGGTGGCTGCGTCTCCATAACACACACCTGGGACATGAGTCATATTAGTCAGCGACCTCATTTCAAAGAGGATCTGGACATGGGAATATTAAAAACCTGGATTGGGGATTGCATTTAAAACACACTTATTAAAATAAATGTGTTTTGGCAGGAGGATTGGGGGACCTTTAGGATGTTGAAATAAATAACTGGTAATCCAAATATAGACTGAAACCAAACAAACGATGATAGCAGAGATTACATTTGTATTTGCAGTTCATAGAGGTTTTTTCTAAGAAGAAGTATAACCACCACGATGAAGCTTACATAAGACCTCACGAAAGCATCATTCCAGACCTCGGCAAAACTGAAAGTAAGACCAGAGGAAATGTCCAAATTCACCAAATCCAAAAGAAGAGGACTGACCGTCGGTGCCCTTGTGGACGTATCCGTTAGAAAGGGGGGGCATGAGCTGCTGGTGGCTGCCGGCCTCAGAGTTGCTGTAGCCTTCCTGAGGCTCTGACAGAGTGCCCTGAGAGGACAGGTAGCTGGGGATGTCCGCCGGCAGGTTCATCTCGTCTGGAACGGACAAGAGACACGTTTTGTTACGCCGCGTTGAGTTCTGGCAAACGGGGTTACACAGCCTTTTAACATCCGCTTTCTGTTAAACCTGTGTGGACATAAAGATTCCAACACCCCACAAAGAGAACAACGCAACATCAATTGGCCTCACTGATCTGATGCCAACGTTTAAGTATTGTTTAACCAAAATCTAGACTGAAACACATGCACTTTAACACAGAGACCCCAACCTCCTTTGCCTCACGGACCATTTTCATGTTAAGACAATATTTCGCAGACGGGTCATATGACAAAAATAAATTTAAATATATATATGGTATCTAGTGGTCCGCGGCCCGGGGATTTTTCTAAACTTCCCCAGGCCTGCAAGTATTAAATGCCATTTTCAAATACAAACCCTGCGTGCAACAGATGAACATACTTCATGCTTTCTGCACGGCTACCATTAGTGGGCGGAGCTTCAAACAAGGCTCATTTGTTGTTACGAGTCTGAACTGCTGACCTGTGTTGCTGAGGCTGTAGTCCTCGCTTTTCCTGCGCATGTGGTAGATGACAATGACCCAGACCAGCGAGGTCCCGACCACGCAGCACACCACCACGATCACCACGATGCCCACGGTGGTCCAGCCGTCCTGGTCGAACCCCGCGCCGGTGTCACAGTTGGGCGACGGCGAGACGCTCAAGTAGATGTGGCCGCGCTCCGTCCCCAGGGTGTTGGACATGATGCACGTGTATTTCCCGGCATCCGCGGGGCCGGCGTCGACGATGATGAGCAGCTGATTGGCGGCGGCGAAGAAGTGGCGCTCGGTGAGCAGCAGGGGCCCGTCGTCTTTGGTCCAGTTGAGCCGGGGGGCCGGGCTGCCCCCGGCGATGCACTGCAGCACGGCGGTCTCGCCGCGCGCCACCGACCTGTCTTCCAGTCCCCGGATGAAGGACGGAGTTTCTGGAAGAGGAGATTTTGTCAGGATTAATAATGGTCGACACAGTTATTTTACATGTTTGTTTTCTGTGCTAATGTTTGAACCTTGATCATAAACATAAGTTATAAACAGCAAACAGCTCAAAAAAGCAGCACAGTAGTTTGTTTCTGCGGCGGGAGGATCACGAGATCGCTGGCGGGTGTAAGCGAGTGTCATTGTGCGCCAACTCTCACATACTGACGCGGCAAAGCTCACACTATTTGGGGGGCTCATTTCGCTGAAGGACCTCTGATTAAGAGCTGTGGAGTAACATCTGTGTCAGAAACGCTCCTTCCAGCCAGAATTAAAGTATCCGTCACGGACGTGGATTGCACATGCGTCAGTTAGTTGAACCAGTGATACAAAATAAACGATGATGTGTTATGAGGGGCGGACAGAAATGAGCGGCGTCACTCAGCGATTTAACCCCGGTAGTACAACGTGGTCTATCAGACGGGTGACTCACCCAGGACGGTGAGGGTAGCGTTCGCAGACAGGCTGCCAGCTGCGTTTTGAGCCGTGCAGCTGTACACTCCCATGTCTTCCGCCTTCACGCTAGCGATGAAGAAGATGTCATCGTCTGGCATCACGTGCATCCTGCGCTCCCGGGCGGCCGGGAAGTCGGTGCCGCCGTCCTTCTGCCAAGCAATCTGGGGTAATGGATGGCCTTCGGCGGCGCACTCCAGCCTGGCCATGCTCCCAGCGCGGATCGTCAGATCCATGGGAGTCTTCAGAAAGGACGGCAGCTCTGAAAAACAACACATCGCCATTAGTGGGACGAGTATAGACGGACTGGTACCAGCACCAAGGGAGTAAAAGGCTGCAGGGGAAAATCTAATGAGCCACACTGATGGGCGGCGACCGCCCTCTTTGACCGGCGTCCTCACCGTTCACAGTGAGCTTCGCCCTGTTGGAGTAGTTGGAGCCAAAGTGATTGGAGACCACACACTGGTAGCGTCCCTCGTCAGTGAAGTTGACGTTGAGTAGGTGCAGCACGGTGGTGTAGGTCAGCTCCCCCTCCTGGTACTGGGCGTAGTTCTGCACCTCGGCGTCATACAGCACCTCCCCGTCCTTCCGCCACGCCGTGGTCATCGGCGAATCGCTGCTGCTGGACGCAACGCAGCTCAGGGTCACGTTGTTCCCGCGCATCGCCACGTAGGTCTCCGGGTGGGTGGCGATTCGAGGCTTGGGGAAATCGTCTGCGTCAGGGACAGAAAGTGTGAGCCTCCTGAAGCAGGTTTTTGAATATAAGATATCAGTTGCTGCTCAACATGGATCATGCCAACACAGGAGGAGCAACATGGCGGTAGGACCAAACAACTACGCGCCTCAGTTTTCCAAGCCTCTTTGGGCTTCGTTTTCCTATATGGGAATTGGACTGGAGACAGTATAAACAGAGAGAGAAAGGCACTGACCACACACAAAGAGCTCGGGGCTGACGGACAGGACACTGTGGCCGAGGAGGCTGGCGGGATGAGCACACACAGCAAACACGGGCGGCTGGAAGTGGCTGGCGGCGAGCCAGGGCCCGAGCCACTGCATGTGGCAGTCACACAGCAGGCTGCTGGTGTTCAGGACGCTGGGAAACACAGAAAGGAGACAGGAGGAGGCGTGAGACGGGTCATTCACAAATGAATGGGAGTTGGGGATTTATGGGAGGAGATGGTGAACGTTTGGGAACGGAATTGGTCATTTACGCTTTTATGACCAATCCCGAATAAATATAAAATACGAGCTGATATTTACCATCAAAACTATTCACACCAGTTTTTCCATAGAAGGTTTGAATTGATTCACTCAAATACACAGGCAGTCAGCCGGAGGTGAATTATATTATTATCCCATAGCTACTGTAAGCCAGCTCGTTGGGTTTCCTTTTAGGGAAATGCTCCGAGGGAATTGGGAGTTCCCTCTGATAAACAGTCGGGTAGTACATGTGCATGGCTGGGATCTGGAAGGACAGAAGGAGTGATGGAATGTGCTGCTTTGTTATGGTTGAAGGGAGTCATGAAGTAGAAGGCCCTGATTCTGACTCGCTCCAATGCGAGATTACAGCGTTTCTGCAATTAATATTCATGTTCTATTTAAACGTATTCATGACAAAAACAACTATTTAAATTTTTTTTTTTTTAAACCTTGTCTTGAGGGAGGTAGGTTGAAATACTGTTGGCTAGTTAGTCAGCCGCCGCTTGAGAGGCACTCTGAAAAGATGAGCCGATCAAACGCCTAGAAAGGGACCGGGCGGGAAAAGTAACCGACATGATGAAGCGGACGACGACAACTCAAAAGCGGCATTGAAACTCTCTGCAATAACACTGCAATCACTCACGTTTACGGAGTTCATCGCTAACCCTACACAACTCGTATGCGTCACCCACCCAACGTCCTCATTCGTTCCTTTTTAATAAAAGCCAGACAGAAGCGATCAACGCAGGGAAAGGCCGACTTCCAGATGTGCTTATGGCAACTGTAAGATCCGTTTGGGTCTACTCACAACACTTTGAGCTTCATGTGGGACAACGCCTCGGGGTGTATCGACATGATGCCGTTATTGCTGAGGTCCCTGCGGAGTGCACAGAAATATGGGTTAGACACACGCACGATGTGATTTGATCAATTTGGCATCCAGTTTCACGAGCGTAAAACGGGACCGTGGTTAAAAAAACAACAACGAAAAATAACCGTCTTCAATCATTGATTGAATAACAAGAGATCCGGTTGGCGGTAGCTTTACTCACAGGTGCTCCAGCTCGTCCAGGCCCTCAAACGCTTTCTCCGTGATGGATTTGATTTTGTTCCGCTGTATGATCCTGCAAGACAAAAAACATTTCACATTGCCACCGGACCTGCAACAAAATTCACGTCACAGCCTTTCAATGCCAGTTGGAATACAAATGAAGCTAATTAACTAATTCAATTAAAGCAGAACTTTATCACAAGGTACAGACATTATCTGGAACGCTGCCACAGAGTTTAAGATCCGGGTGCGAACACATATTATTATGAATCACATATTAAATCAAAAGCCCTGGCTCTGTACATGTGTGTACAATCTGAGTGTCAATCTCACAGTGTGTTCAGCTTCTTCATCCCATCAAACAGACCAACAGAGTCTTCAATGGCCCAGGAGATTTCATTATTGCGGATATCCCTGAAAAAAAAAAAAAAAAAAAAGAGTGACGCTGAAGATATTTAAACACACAGAAACAAAGCAGCAGTGACTCCCACATCAGAGAGCAACCATCTGAGGCCCCGTACCTCCACAGTGAGTTGTGAATGGGCCGCGTTTAGCTCGGGGACGGATGATGGGAACAGAGAAGCCTCTTGTTTCCCCCGGCTGCTAACGACCTCCTTTGTTTCTCTTTCCTCATGCTCAGCCACCTCTGAAAGAACCTCACCCCTCCCTCATGTTGATGTGCCTAGTCACTTTCTCAACTCTGTGTTTCATCGATACCTCCCAGGTAAATATGTGATGAGGGCAACACAGCAGCTCGATTAGGCCATTATTCTCTGCCTGAGCTCCTAGGTTTTCTGCTGCATTGGCTCAAGGAGCCTGTCAAACACGGTGTCCATCAAATTTAGATTTGTTTTTAAGGGTTGTTATTGACTTGCCTCTCATTTGTTTTTCAAGCTGGCTTTGCTAAAGTTTTTTGACAGTTTTGATCAGGTCACAATTCAGGTCGTATTGATCGTTTTGGGCTGATTAAGCCTGAAGGCCAATCAGATGACGCATCAATTCTCAATACAAACGTTTAATTTACAAATGAGTTCTTAAGACTTCTTGCCTGCTCTCAAATCCACTCAGGGATCAACTTGGCAAACTTCCATATTGTTAATGGTAAGTGGGGAAAGGAGCAGGCTTAAGACACATAATGTATTGTGTTGTACCGGATATGAGGTGTATTAATGTTGGAGGCCATTAGTGCAAACATGGTGAATCCTAATAGACTGGTGAACAATACCGAATGGTATCCAGCACCCAAGAAAGAAAGAACATCCCAACTCATCTCCCTCAGAGCTGCTTTGTTATTGGTTAATATGCTTAGAAATGCTGAGCATCATATGGGCAGATATGTTTTATTTAATGCCTTCTTGATGAAAGATTAAGAACAAATCCTAGATCCAACCCTCACCTTTCCCACCTCTGCCCCGGTGAGACCAGTTTACTGTCACATATTACAACCAGCTTCCATACAGTACATGGCTCACATGGAATACGTGGCCCGACTAAGAGTACTTTCCTTCCCAAGTATCACATTTTGATGTGCCTGCACTGGGTAACAACGCTCCCAGTGGTTTAACGCTTGATGCTGGCTGCTCCTGCGAGTGACCACGAGCCCCCAGCAGATTTTTCTTGCTTTAACAAGACGCCGACAGTGAACGCGTGACAGAGGACACAAAACCAAGAGAACTGGACTCATTGGGCGCTTTGATTAAAACCACAAGACTAACGACAAAACAAGATGTGAACGCTGACTATGTTAGAGGATGCAGACACATTTCTACTGTTATTTCTCGAAACTACCTGGGAAATGTGTGAAGACGGGACTAGAACTACACATGAAGAGTAAAGCAAACACAGACCTACTGTAGTTAGCAGCCTTCATAGGAATGCAGAGCCAAGAACATGTCAGGAGGGTTATACTTTGGATACTGCGCAATATTACAACCATTTCTGATAGATTTCCCTGAGTAGCACTTACAGGGTGTGCAGACTCGCCAGGCCACTGAACACTCCTTCTCCCAAATGGCTGATGGAGTTTTCTCCGAGGTTCAGGCTGTCCAGGAGACCTAGTCCCACAAAGGCGGCCTCCTCGAGTCTAGTCAGGTGATTGAAGGACAGGTCTCTGCACAAAAACAAACGCAGATTATTACAAACTCGTTGACGCACTCAAGAATCCTGCTCCAAAATAGATCTTCACAAAATCGTAAAAGATGAAATGTACATCCACTACGGGCGAGGCTGCACGGAATCATCTCCAGGAGGTTAGAAAGCACTGGAGCAAAACAACAGTAAGTTCTGGGAGCAACCGGAATGAATTTCAGAGCCCAGAGCTGATGGAAGGGAGCGGGGACCCGCAGCTGTGAAGCGAACACACTCACAGCTCCTCCAGCTTCTGGCAAAACTCCCAGGCGTCTGGTCGGAGGATGCCGAGAGCATTCTGGCTGACCCGCAGGATCCGCAGCATGCGTAGTCCGTACAGCCAGCCTTTGTTGACCTCTGTTAGGTTGTTGTGCTCCAGCTCTCTGAGACACAGGCGGGATGAACACACGGCATTGACAAAGAACACAAATACAGAATTACATGAATTCTTTGGCGTCTTCCCATCCAACATTGATGAATTTACAGTAATCTTTGCAGCTTTTTCTAGTCTGTTAGACAATTCCTGATGAACCAACTGTTAGATATCACTTTAAAGAATCTACAACCCCGTACTTACAGTTCTTCCATGTTGTTAAGTCCAAAAAAGGCTCCATCCATGAGGTTGGTGATGCCATTCCTCTGCATCTTCAGTGACCTCAGTGAGTCCATCCCTTTGAATGTCAGGCTGTCCACAATCTTGATCTTGTTACGCTTCATTTCACTGCAATGACAGCAAAGAACGGCTTCCTTCAACCAAGTACATTTATACCGAGAGAAACGGGAGCCATTGGATTTATACCAAATTCATCCGGGCTTCAGTACAAAGATGTATTTACCGAATATCAAGATTCCTGAAAAATTATTTTAGTTCTGCACCAACGCACATCATGCCATACTTACAGGAAGTGGAGCTGTGGAAGTTTGAAGACCTTAGAAGGCAGCACAGCTAATCTGTTCCTGTTCAGCTTCAACACCAGCAGGGAGCTGGAGATGTTTTCAAAGCAGCCAGGCTCGAGGACGCTGATCTTGTTATTACTCAAATTCCTTTGAGATGAAAAGAGCAGCAGCATTGGAGCCAAAGTGAAGAAAGAGAAGACAGCTAAGTCTGCTGGAGGTGAATATCCACATACGATAAGATGCTCTTATCCGAGAGTCTTTTGTGCTCTGCCATAACTGTCATGTCATCTACTGTTGTATTATATATACACACCCAGTGCACACAGTAGTAAACTAGTGTACTGGTATGACACGTTACCAACATTACGTTTCATCCTTGATGCTTTCTGTTATTAAAATACTATATATGTGCAGTATTGTGCAGCCTCAGCCGACGTACATTCGGCCTGTCCTTTAAGATAACACATCCGCTGATGAACAAATGGTGAAAAGAGAATGATTACTTACAGGTATTTCAGCTGCATGGAGGGGAAGGATCCAACTCTGAGCTCTGAGATCGAGTTGGATGTCAGGTCCAGTGTCTCCAGGGCAACGTATGGCAGCAGCTGATGCATCAAAAGTTCTGAGATCCGATTGTGGACTCTGAATCGTGTACAAAATGTGTACAAAAGTATTAGCTTTCAAACTCATAATGAAGGAGGGTTGCAAAGAAATCAAATGTATTTTAGTCCCAGCACCTGTACCTGGGCTTTGGGAATCGGCTGACACCAAGTCGATTCATTCATTAAAAAGGCAGCGCTGTTAAAACTGACTGGTATCATTCTACAGCTGAACAGCTGACATGTTATGTCTCTTAGCAATGCTGATATGAAGCATGCGTTCTGCACACAAGTGTAATCAGATGTAAATGTAGAATATTTACATGAGTAAAGACTCATATCGGTTGCTGGGTTACAAAAGGACATTACCTAATGACGGCCCATGTGTTAGCTCCAATGCATTTGTCTAGATTTGTCAAGAGTAAACATTTGCAATTCTTCCCAAAGGGTCATAACAATTGTTTGAAGTGTTTATTTTTACACATAAAGGCTTAACAGTCTAACAGAAGCAAGAAAAGGAATGACGACATAAAAGGGGGGCACGTAAGTGTGTGTGAGAAGTGACAATATGATGGGGATCTCATACTTACAATGACAGGGAGGTGATGTTTGAGGACACATCTCCAAGAAAAGGGATATCGGTCAGTTCGTTGTGATTCATGGTGCTGAAAGGACATCAAACAAAACCAATTAGTCTGCATTATGTTAAATTAATCAAACGTCCCACTCACGCCCACATTCTTATAATGGGGAAAGCCACTACGCAATTAACGTAACGCTAAGGTCTAGAACAAGCGTCTATTCTGCATCTAAACGGGACAACCCGGGGTGTCGGTGGAGCAACACATCCCGGCGGTGGATGAAGTGACGCATTTGCATCTTACGGGTTTGCGTACTTACACCTGGGTCGTCCCATGCGGGGGGTCCGCAGGAACCGTTGACAGCCTTTTCCTGTTGCAGTCCAGGATGCGGACTTCATCTCGTCCCGTTGGGCAGGAGCACGGAGCGGGACAAGACTCCAGAGCCCGGGCGCTGAAACTCAGCAGCAGGAAAACGAGGGCCGGAGGAACGGGCCGACCCTCCGCCATTTTGAGCGTCTTCCCACTGGAGGCTAAGTGGCGTTAGCTAACGTGGCTAACTTGCTACACAAGTCGCGTGAACTGCAAAAGATAAATCCCGCCAACATAAAAATCCTCCCCGGTGTTTAAATCAGTCGAATGAACACATACTTCAGGTCTGTGGCTCCACGGCCTGATTAGGAACCGTAAAATACTTGTTTTTCCCAACTTGCAGGAGGCATCCCAGCAGAAATCTCTTTCTTCCCGGTGTCAGGAATTCCTTCCGCTCCAATCTTAACGGTGGATATACTCCCGCAGCAGCGTTGGCTTATGCTGCCTCAATGCCGAGCTAACGTTAATTTTGTCCCAACATCGGTTAAACTCCCCGCTTGGATGTCGTTTAATTGTAGGGGGGTCATCTAAAGAGGTAAAAAATAAAGAATATCCGTCTTTCCGTTACAAAAGCACAACAAGGCGCATTGACTGTGAGGCATTGGATATCTTAGATCCCGCCCCTTTCCAGCATGTTTACAGTTATTCTATTGGTCTGTACTAAAACCTGTCAAACAATTGCATCAATTTGATTGGATGTCTGTCCAATATGTTTTGGTCTTAGCCTTAAATCAAAACAAAAAAAGTAAAAATGTATTCGCTCAAAATATGTCCGGGAAAAACAGGTAAAAATATTAGGTCAAAAAATATACTGAAAAAAAGGTAAAACATATTAGGTAAATATATTTTTTAAAAGTATAAATATGTAATGTGGAAAAACAATTTTTTACGTAACATTTTTCGACTTTGTTTTTACGTTTTAGGTTTTTTTTAAAGTTGAAATGTGTCTTGAGAATCAAGTCAACAAATGTTTTGAACAAAAAGTCAAGCGATATTACGTCCAAATATGTCATGGTAAAATAAGTCAAATAATATTAGGTAGAAAAATTCATGAAAGAAATTCAAGATATGTTAAGTTGAAATTTGTCTTGACAAAAAAGTCAAAGTGTGTCAAGGAAAAAAGGTCTTTTCTTTTGAAAAAAAGTCAAAATATGTTAGGTTGAATTTTTTCATGAAATAAAAGTAAAAACATACTAGGTCAAAAAATGTTTTGGAAAAATGGCAAATTATGTTAGGCCGAAAGACTATTGTACTCAAATATTTTGAAAGAAAAGTAAAAATATCTTAGGTCGAAAAAAGCTTTGAAACAAACTCAAATGTTAGATTGAAATACGATAAAACAAAAAAGTAAAAAAGTAAAAAAATAAAACCAGTTATATTAGGTAAACATTTTTAAAAAAATAAATATGATAAAATATATTGTGTTGAAAATAAGATAATGAGAAAGTAAAAATGATTTGTCAAAATATATTAGATAAGAAGGTAGATAAGGTAAGGTAGACAAGACAACTATTGGAGTGAATGTTTACACTTTCTCGAACCGCACACCAGGGGGCATCCAAGAGACTTAGAGAGGTATTGTTGGCAGTTGATAGCACTCAGCCAAAAGTCTTCTTTCAGAGCCTTTTGGACACAAATACAAAATTGCTGTTTATATGGAAAGGTCCCTCAACTGGACAGCTGTTAAACGTAAAACCTTGAAGGATTACAATCTTTCTAACGTGTCTTTGAGGATGCTCAGATCTAACCGAGGAACTTATGGATACGAAGGAACTAGACTCGACTACACTCGACGGGGAGAACTAATTGACAAAGACTTAGCTTGCGAGCTCCACTAAAAAGCTGAGTTAACTTAATACGGGGACTTCAGCATCATTGTATTATTAAGTTCCTTGAGAAAACTGGACTTGCCTCATAACTAAAGTAATAATAAAAAGTATGTCAATGAGTGTGCGAGCCCAACGGGAACATTAGCATATTTTTGGTGTTAATGGGGAGAGCTGACAATTTTGCCTCACTGAGCAACGCTTTGTGAATGTGCTTTTGCTGTGGGCATATTGACTCCCATGAATGCGCACAAAATGTACACAATGTGACAGCCTTCAAAGCCAAACTGATTATTTTCCCACACTTGAGACACTGAAAGATTCCCCACAACATATGAAGACATACAAAAAAAGACCTTGTTGCCTTCATTGAAAAGCAGATCCACTTTTTGGCCACATCCAGGACGCACAACTCGGCAACTTGTTGGTCACCAATGTTAGTCGAGCAAAGAAAAAAGGGGGAAGCAGCTTTGCTACCGATGTTACGGAAGTAAAAGGAGGCATGACTCCGTTCCCAGGAAAAATGACTGAGTGTTGCTCAATTCACAACTGTCTGTTAAAAATGTTTATCTTGACTCGACAATCCATTTGAATATCTGACGACTGAACTCGTAAACTGTTTTTTGATTTGTAGAGAAAGTATTTTGAACACAAAATGTATTTTGTTAAAAATTACGTTAGATTTTCTTTATCGGCCCTATTAAATACAAGTGACAAAGTACTCTAAGTAATAAAACTACTGCCCATCTCTGTGGTTTCTAAGGGGAATTTGGCAGATGGTACCCTTATCGTGATGGCATGTTGTAATTGTGTTATAATGTTCATCATGTCATGTTGTGGTCCTATGGAGAACCCTTACCAGTGCCGTGCAGCGATGTCAGTAGAGAGTTACGAAAGGCAGATACAAACATTAAAGGTTACGCACAAGCGTGGCACACACCCACGGTCGATATCAAAAAATCTGCATTAATTACACCACTTCATCCTTAATAATAACACTCAAGGCCGGCCTTTGTTCTCAATAATGTTACAATAACGAGGACAAAGTCTGGCCTGTCAGACCTTTATTGCTTAATTATTGCACAGCCGCCAAGTGTTTATCAGTCACAATCCGGGTCGGAGGGCCGTGACAACAAGGAGGGGATACCACAAGCAAATTAGTCAGAACGGGGTTTTGTTGGACTTACACCAGTGGCGTGTCGAGTCAGTAGTTTCAGTGGTGGAGGTGAGTGCATGCATGGAAGGTACCATACTCCTTTACCAAATAGCAAGGCGGGTGTCTCAAGGCAGAGCGAAAGCGAGACCACCTGAGACCAGGGGGCCTTTTAACAGAGTGCACTGGCACACAAAGCCCATGTGCTGCTGATTATCTCAGGTGCTCCCACTAACCTGACAAACCTCGGCCGCCTGCAGGTACGCCAGCCGGAGGCGGAGAGGGTCGTCACAGTCAGCAACGAGGAAAACACACACTGCTCAATTGAATATGAAGGCAGGTGGCTCGTAGTCGCCATTCGTTCAACCACACTTATCAGTTCAATATTAAGCCCGAAATAATTTCTTGTATTTATATATTTTTAATTTAGCTGTTTATTAAGTAACATTATTTCATTTAACATTTTTATTTATTAATTTTGCCAGGATAGGCGGTGCCTACCATGCCACTTATTTGTTATCATTTTCTATCATTATTATTGTGTATACTTGGTTGAAGTCCACGTATTCTGCCCGAAATTCACGTTGAAAACGGGATGACGCACCTCAAGGAGTCTATTCTTTATTTTAATTTTGAAGCAAAAAAATAAAAATAAAGAAATGCACACACACCTCTTCACTCTTGCGCATGCGTGCGATCGGATGATATTTAAAAAAAAAAAATACCAAGGCTATTGTTACGCGTCAGCAAAACGGGCCAAACAGTACGCTTTCTAGGAATCCTCCCTCCCCAGGTACACAACTATTAAAAATAGCACCAATGCGAAGAGCGGGAATAAACAAAGAGACAGCCCACAGGGAGACGAGGAGGCTGAGTGGACCAATCAGAGGACGCGCAGGCTTATTAAAGCCGCGGCTACCTGCAGCGTTTACTATCGTCGCGCTCCGCTCGCTCACACGCTGTGTGCAAGTCAAGACCCGTCGGCGCGGTCCCATCCTGGCAAAAAACAACAACCTCTCGGCATTTAGTGTCCGCAGCCCTTCCAGTCAGCACCGTGTCGCCGAGGACAGCAGCCATGATTCACTCCCGGACCCTCCGAGTAGATTATGCCCAAACCACGCGCGTGGTCTGCGTGGTGGGCTCGGAGCTTAATGTGAACCTGAACAGGTAGGCTGTGCGTTCAACTTCCGCATAATCCGGGATGTGTGTGTGTGTGTGTGTGTGTGTGTGGCAAATTGTTCTAGTGTGCACTCATAGAGTGGGAGGTTTATTCTAGTATGATAATGTTCTCACGGTCTCACCTGGAAATGTTGTATCGTATCCTTGGTAACATGGTCTCGCTTTCATTTTGTGTTGTAATCATGAGAAGCTGTCATTAAGAATCCAGATCCATCAAAACTTTTTATTGACATTTCATACAAAAAAACAAAACTTGACGCATATATTTGCCTGACCCCTTAATAGACCTTGTATGAAGGCTATGACACGGTTTTATTTTTACAATTTTGAAAGGCATTGATCAAGGCATCAGCTTTATAATCATTTTGACGCCTCATTTATATCAAGTCCACTGACAGAAGAACACTTTGCAATATACAACTCATCAACACTGTAAACCACATGCTCCAAAATGATCATCACGTTTAATAAAATGCCCCTCAAACACTTTAAACTAAAGCTGACTACAGGATCGCTTTGTCTACATTAGCGTTAATTTATTCCCTATGAACTGTCCACTGTGCGCATTCCATTGTTTGCCCATATCAATGGAGCTGTGGGCGCGATGTCATCCGTATGCGAAGTCCTTCGCCTTTTGTTTTGTACAGTGGAGACAGTCAACAGTCTTCCATTGTTGCTGTCGGAACAGATGTTGCTGTGCCAAAGAAATGGAGGCAATAACTTCAGCCTCCACAACACAACAGAGCCCGGCTTGATTACAGAGTGGGAGACGGGCGCGCCCAGCCCGGACGCCTCGTCACGTGACCCTGTTTTAAAAAAATAAACAATGGTTTCATCTTTAAAGCCACAGGTCCTTTTTTTTTTACAACAATCAGTTCCTCATTTCTTTTCTTGTTTGGGTTTTGTTGCTGAGCTGCGTTCGACAATGCTAAAAATGATATTTTGGAATGGTTGATATGGTTTGAGAAACTCTGACTGCTGACACTTCAAGATTGACCTTTATCTGCCAGTGGGGGCAGGAGGAACACTTGCAACTGATGCCATGTGGGGTAACGTTGATTTTAGACATTGACAACACGCTCAGTTGTTCCCCAAACTGTGATCGGAGGACCTACTTTTTAAAACAAACCATTTCTAGAAATCGTTGGAGTGAATTTGTCGTAAATGAACATTCCTGACCTCACTGCTATTTCAGCATCATCTTAAATCATCTGCAATAGATGATGAAGCAATTTTGAAGATACTTTTGGTAAACCGCAGTGACATTTGGAAAAAAAACCCAAGATCTGGTTTTGGTGTAAAAGCAGTTTCGGTCCTCAGGCAGAATGTAGACATGTCTTCACGTGAAAAAAAATTCCAAAGAAACCTCTGAATTGCTGCATGTTGGAAGTAGCAACTGCTGATTTTTATCATATGATTAAATCGTATGTGTATGAATCACTTTACTCTTCATTGCTGGAAAGACCAGCGGCTACTTCTCCTCCACCAGGCACAAAACATGAGCTTGTGTATACGACAATTTGTGTCAACGTATATACATGTATACATTCTCTTGTCCTCAGGAGCGCCCCTCCCCGCTCCAGGTTCTACTCGGTGAAGTGCACCCCCAGCGTTCAGTACGGCATCAGACCCTCCCCTCGGCAGACGTCCCACCTCTCCCCCATCCCCCTCGCTGGAAACCCAGTACTGCTTATCCGCATGAGCCGAGCCAGTGAATATGAAAACGATAGCAAGGTAGGACAAAAGGGAAGTTATGTCACAGTTCCAGTTACTTTGAAGGACAGTCAAGATTTCAGATATTAAATATTATTCAGACTGAGCCAAAACAAGAAAGAACCATGTTTGTATGCAGACAGACAGATATATCTACCTTAAACTCACCTTCCTAGAAGCATTATCACATTTCAATGAATCATTTATCGCTTTTAAAATGAGCCGAGCTGTTCCACGTTCAACAATAGCTTTTATTCGTGCACCTTTTAGGATTTTAAAGTTGTCCAATGTCCATTTTGTATATTTAAATGACTCGTGCCTTCTTCTTATAAGCTGTCTATTAAGTACTATGGGGAGCGTGAAGAAGCCTTGGGGAGAGCCGTCCTGCACCTGACGGCTGTTGGTGAGTCAGACTGGAATTATAAATAAATATAAAAATAAAATAAAATATATTATTATCGGGATAAATATTTGCGCAAACCTCGTAACTTCTTTTGCCAGAGATCTCTCTGGACGTGGATGCCGACAGAGACGGGGTGGTGGAGAAAAACAACGCCAATAAGGTGAGGTCTCAGGCCTGCAGGTGTAATTCAGATCTTGTTCAAGCTTGTGTTTGTTAAACCAGCATTCTCGGTTGAACATCCTCACGCAAGGTTTGTGTATTTGCATCTGGTTTGTTTAAAAACCTGTTAGGGATCCTGGACATGGGGCCCTAAAGGGCACGGAGCCATCCTGCTGGTGAACTGCGACTCAGAGCGGCTTTTCAAGAAGAAACTGGATAGCGAGCAGAACTATGTTTCCAGGGTGTCGGGTAAAAGAATGCAGCCTCGCTCACAAAGGGGAAACTCTCCCTCGCTTTTTGGACCCGTTCAATTTGTTCACTGCTAGCAGCGTCAACCCGGGGGAACTCGTGCTCGCTTTTTGAGCCGATAAATTTGTTGACAGAGTAAACAGGATTTGATAAAACCTGGAGCGTGAGGTGTGAGGCACAGTAACCTTCTCCAATGACGGTGCAGTGAACGAACCTGTTTGACTGAACTATATTTGCAAAGCCAGGTGTTTTTTTTTTTTTTTTAAATGATGTGTGCTTGTCAGTAGGAATTATGAATGTTTGGTATTTAGCTTCACAGCTCAAAGCGTAAAAACAAAAAGTCTGGAGCACTTTTGTTGCACGTATTGCGTGAGTTTTTAAAAGGCTCCGCGGGACTGAATGACTCCTTGTGCATGAACAGATCTGAAGGACATGTCCCTTATGGTGCTGCGGACCAGAGGCCCCGCCAAGCTGCCCGAAGGCTACAAGCTCGCCATGCACATCTCTCAGGGGGACGCAGAGAGCGTCCGAGTCTTCAGATCCTCTTTAGATAGCACGAAGAAGAACACCGGACGGCGTGAGTGACGAATGCCCCCCCCCCCAAGCCATTTTTCTTCATTCCTTTCCGTTTTTTGGAACCAAGCGCCCGAGTGATCGAGCGTCGGTTCTGTTCCCAAATCCACAGAGAATCTCTTCTACAAGTACTTTGTGAACGACTACCCGCTGGTGCTGAGCAGGGAGGTCCTGTCCCAGGAGGTGCCGTACCTCGGCGAGGCAGCGGAGGCGAGGTTCTACGTGGAGGGCCTGCGGTTTTCTGACCTCGACTTCAACGGGCTCATCAGCATCCACCTCAGTCTCCTGGAGCCCATCTCCTCCGTAAGACCCATCAGCGCCGCTCGCACACCGTTACACATCCGTAGTTCATCTCCAGCCTGCATAAAACCGACGTAGTTTGAGGAGAAGATCAGCTTTCACGCGACATGGATCGGTTTCAGATACGACTTTCCGTTGGATTCCTGACGAAATGACGTCATGTTTCGACAGGGATTCCCCGAGACGCCCATTTTCACAGACACGGTGGTGTTCAGAGTCGCACCGTGGATCATGACACCCAACACCCTGAAGCCCGTGGAGGTGTTTGTCTGCAGGTAAGAGGAGGTTGCTGAATAATAAAAGACGATTGTGACAATAGGTGCGTCAACAATATGTTGGTGTTAAACACTCGCCTTAGCCTTAATAAATAAATTTGAACTGCGGTTTTCTCTTTGCCGTTTCTTTTATATTATATTTTCCAAGCTCGGGAAAATCATTTTAATATGTTGGTTGTTAAAGAATTGAGCATTTTGTGAATCCCAAACCACTTCTTAATTAAAACGTCTTCTTCCGTCGTCACCTCGTCAGCACGTCTGACAACTACCAGTTCCTAAAAACCATGAAGGGCCTTGTTGCAAAGTGCGGGTACAAGCTTAAGATCTGCCACGAGTATCTCAACAGAGGAGATCGCTGGATGCAGGTAAGAAAAACAAATGCGTGAGCGTACAAAGTCAGCGGATTTCACATCAACCGCATTATGAGACAGAAAAAAACAATATTCCAGGATGAGCTGGAGTTTGGCTACATCGACTCACCTCATCAGCGGTTTCCCGTCGTTCTGGATTCCCCTCGAGATGGAGAGCTCAACGAGTTTCCATATGACGAACTGCTGGTGAGATCCAGATTTAATTTACTTTCATGTCATGACTGGTTTTGAAGCCAATTATAGTTCAATATGCAAGTTATATAAGTGCAATGTGGATGGTTTAAACCTCCAGATAATATAATATATTATATATATATATGTCTTATATATGTATTATAGATAATATATTTGACACGTTGAGCTGTTGGATGTGACTTCAAACGTCACAGATCTTTAATCACCCGCATGTCCTCAGGGACCGGACTTTGGCTACGTGACGCGGGTGGCCGACAGGAAGGACGTGAGCAGCCTGGACTCCTTCGGTAACCTGGAGGTCAGTCCTCCCGTCACCGTGAACGGGAAGCACTACCCGCTGGGCAGAATCATCATCGGAGTGGCCTTCCCCACGTGAGTTCGCACCGGATCCTCCTCCTCCCGTCGCGGGTCGGCAGGGGACACCGAAAATGCGTCTGAAAGTCGGCGCAACGTAACTCAAATTCTCTCGCTGTCCTCAAAGGGCAACTAAAGGACGGAACATGACCAAAGTCGTCCAGGACTTCCTGTGGGCCCAGAAGGTTCAGAAGCCCATCGCCTTGTTCTCCGACTGGCTCTTGGTCGGCCACGTGGATGAATTCATGACTTTTGTTCCTGCACCTGACAGAAAGGTAAACACCCGCTTATTAAACAGAACCGCCAAACGGAAATATCCACATGGTGAGAAGACGGGGAGCGGCCGGCCATGGCGTTATGTTACGCTGTGGGATGAGACAGTATAAGCTCTCAGGACAATGAGGACAGACAGAGTTGTCTTTGTCTCTTGTGTTTCCGCGCAGGGCTTCCGGCTGCTGCTGGCCAGCCCGGACGCCGGCTACAAGCTATTCAGAGGCTTACAGAGCGACGGACACGGACAAGCCAAACTGTTTGAGGGTAGGACCGGCGTTAACAATAGGGGAAGATCAGCAGTGGTGTGTGTGTGTGTGTGTGTGTGTGTGTTTAGAAATGAACAAACTTGTCTTTCTCAACACCCCAAAGGGCTGAAAGATGAAGAAGCAGTAACAGTGGATGAGATCCTTAAGGATGAAGTTCTCCAAGCTGAAAACAACTACGTGCAGGTGAGTGAACTCAAGTTAAAAAGATAATGTAGAAAAACTCTGGGTCTGAAAGAGGGGAAGCCAACTAGCATTTATATGACCATAAGACCATTGACCGTTGCGAAAATACTTCTCACTGAATGGATTACCTCTGTGAACAATATGTCACGGTCTTAATAGATGCGTTTAAGTCTTGCTTAATACAGCATGTCATTAATTTTGCAAATGATGGTCACATTTAGAACTGAATAGACATGAAGCAGGGTGTGCTTGAGGGTGTAGATGACACATTGCCGGTGACGTGCAGGGATGTCAGTACGAGGCTCGGCAGATAAAAACAGTAACAGGTTGCGCGCACACACACAACTGTAGCCCTTTTACGGTGTGTTTTACGTCTGTAACACTCCGTAGTAAAACTTTTGGTTACTTGCAAAATGTCTTTTTTGTTTTGTTCATCCTGAAAGGTGTTCGAGGTGGATAAAGGGCAGGTCGCTGTGGCATTAGGACCTTCCCTTCACTGGAACTTCTGTTAAAAGCATAAAAGTCCCGGACCACATTCCTACGCAAGCACAGCGTTCAGTCATCCAGCCAGACTACGATTGGCCCAGCAAACATTAATCACCTCAGACAACCTGTTTGCTGGTCTTTTGTGCCGCCGCTTTGCCAATTGCATTTACGCCGCCGACGAAGCGATCTTCTGCTGACTTCTGTGTCACGGGACTTAAGACCCCTGTTCGATGAGCTCGTTTTAGCTTTAGGGTTCACATTTAGCATCCTGCATCCTGTTACGGTGTCGCGTTGAAAGCTACCGAGCACTTCAGTGTGACTCACGTTTTCCCACCATAGGTTTGTCACTAGAGCTGCGAGCGACAGCGGCAGCTGAACCTATTAATAAACAGGCGCTTCCACGTATGTTTTGGCCGCAGTTTACGTTTTCTCAATGATGGATTAGAGGAGTGGTTCAGGACACACTTTTCAGTTTTAGCGTTAGAGTCCTGTTTTGTTTTATTGCCCGTTTGGCGTAAAGCGCTTTGCTCTTTCTCCCAGAGCTGCATCGACTGGAACAGAGACGTTCTGAAGAGGGAGCTGGGCCTGGACGAGGAGGACATCATCGACCTGCCCATCCTCTTCAAGTTACAGCGGCACGAGTGCGAGTACAGAGCAGCGGCTTACTACCCCGACATGGTGGGTTCCGCCGCGTTGTGCTGAACCCACATCCCTTTTCTCGATGGATGCGAGGCGTCAAAGTCCTGATTTGTCTCCTTGTTGTTGTTTTTTTACAGGTCAACATGATAGTCTTAGGGAAAGAACTGGGCATCCCGAAGCCCTTCGGGCCCCGGGTGAACGGACGCTGTGCCCTGGAGGCCGAGATGTTGTCCCTGATGGGGCGCCTGGGCCTGACCTGCACGTTCGTCGACGACTTCGCCTCCTACCACAAGCTGCTCGGGGAGGTGCACTGTGGCTCCAACGTCCGCAGGGAAGCTTTCGACTTCAAGTGGTGGCACCTGGAGATGTGAACCAAAACTGAGGAGTGGGTGGAGGAGGGTTAAATTAGACCGAATAAACAACAGCACCTTTTCTTAACTTCAGGTTGAGATTAAGCCTTAAGTTGTCTCTGAAAAAAATCATGAAAAGCTTCATTTTCTTCCCAATCATTTTACCATAAGTGCTGCTTTTCTCTTCTCAAATGACTTTGACAGTAACTTTGAATACGTGAAGAATAAGTACAGTTCTTGGATCATCTTCAGCTTTATTAAACATTTCAGTTGGCTTCATTTATGAAAAGGATTTAAAGCAATATTTACAAGTTTTGAACGAGGGCTGAAGCAGACTGTTGACCAGAAATACAATCATTTGAATGGAGCACATAGAAGACTTCCTCCTAATCTTTTGTTGTCAGGGCCGTATGGTGCAAGCACAGTGATGTACTGTAATGATACAAAGCCACAAGCGGGGGCACTTCATCTAGTCAAGCAGAGAAACCGCTTTTCTCCGATCAATTTTAAAGGCTGTAATACACATTTGTGTAATTATAACAAAAGCGTATCTCGCAGTCAGGCTAGTGGCTCTTAACCGCGTTAATGAAAACTGCATACAGGCTGTTTCGCATTTGGACCAATGTGTTAAAACACTTTTGTAATTTTATAAATGCTGTCTTTAATTGTGTGTAGAATCCCCCTCACCGAAATAAACTCCGTCACAGGCCGAAGACGGGAAGGAGCTTTCTCTGTGGCTGAGCGTCAGCACGGTTTCACCCCTCGCGCTGGCAGGCGCGTCGAAAATAAAAACACGGCCGCCTGGTTTTACATTCACGCGGTTCCTTCGAACGCGAGCCCCCTTCCCCCCTCCCGAAGGGCTTAACACGACACAAAGGTCAGAAAGTTGTAGAGAGTATGTAGTGAATCGGTCACATGTGTTACACTTTACAAGTAACGCTGGAAACGGTGGCATTCGCCTCTCTGAGCAGTTGTGCGCTTGTTTTGAAAAACACAAATCACGGAGACGACGCTGCAAGCGTGGCGGTGGTGTACAGAGGACAGAGGTGGGGTAAGCAGATTTACACCATGCACAGTACCATTGTGTACACACACACACACACACACATCAAATCAACAGAAAACAAAAGTCTCAACTGCAGGATCTTGACTTGTGGATTGAGGATGCGTGTTGGGCACCAAAATAATTACTCTTCATTCTTATTTTACGTTGTTCCAACAGAATTACCGGGGCTTGAATCTTTGAGAAATTTAAATAAATTCCTGATGCATTATTTATGTGCATCATTTGTATATTTCACCAACCGAGGAGGAAGGAGTGATGCAATGACAGCGTCACAGAAGTGCCCCCCCCCCCCCATCAAAAAACATGACAGAAGCTGTTGTCAAACACGAGGAATATATCCGATGCAGAATACTTGGCACAAGACGAAGAGATTGTCAGAAAAACACAAAAGGCGGCGAGACACACGGCCAGACGCACAGCCGCTACGTCAACGTTAAAACCCATAAAATATATCACAGCTGGATGTGACATGAGAAAAAAAAACATCTCTCTAGTGCAAGTCTCCTCTGTGGACTATTTTACAAGCTAAACAAACGGCAGTTGTGTGATCGCCGTCCCCGCCGTCCCCCCCAGTTCACATCTAAGAGGACACACAACGTTTGAGTGTTTACAGTGAGAATCAGGCCGCCGGACTCACTCCGCTACGCCTGCACGGCCGCGCTGGGCGAGTGGGTCCCTTTCGTCTCGAGGGAAGGTTTGGACGTGGAGCTGGAGTGAGGGCGATAGGGTGGGACATGTCCACATGGGTGCTGGGGACGGGGGGACGGGGTCTGTCCTCATAGGCAGCAGCAGATCCAACGCCGAACACACCGAGCAACATCCGTCGGCCCCTCGGTCGGGCCTCTGACTCCGCTCCTCTCCCGCGGCGGGGCTCACGTGCCCTCGGCTCGGGTTATTTTTGGGGGTGGGGGGGGGGATGCTGAGACAAAAGGAGAAGACACGGGACGGACGTGACATAAAAAGAGGATAAAGTTCAATGAGCGGTTAAAATGTAACAAAGAAATTCATTAAGATTATGTCACCGCCGTGTCCAACCTGAAAATGGATGTCGATGCCGGGGTCAGAGGACGGCGGCTAACAGTTCTGCATACATAGAAACATGGAAGGAAGAGACAGTCAATATCAACAAATACAAGAGCAAAAAAACCATCAGACCCTGCAACTAATTACTAGTTACAGGGTAAATACACATGGCATTATATGTAATATATAAACATGCATTTATGTGTATCATAAAAGGACAAATAACAAATTATTCATTTAATTACATTTTTTGGGGGGGTTACGTCAATGTGTAGTTTACATATTTCTATCACTACCGATTCGTTTTTTAAAACAAACAAAAATAATTGTGATGCAGGTGGATTATTTATTTTCTAAGTAGAAAATGGCAGCATTTATATGAGGATGAGTGTTAATATCGAATCCACGGTCACGGAACTCAAGGTGACCCCCTTATTTTCCCATTTGCGCTGGAAGCAGCGACGCCTCAATACATGACTCAAGGGTCCCTATCTGGAGTCACGCCACGTGAGCGTCTCCTGATTCGTCTCACCGATGAGGACTTGTGGTCCTGCGAGGGCCGGCCGTCTGTCCCTTTTGGCTCCGGCGTCTTCACTCCCTCCGGTTGCTGCTGAGGACGAGACGCTGCCGGACGGGAAGGGGGGACAGATGTGTGGCTGCCATGGTTAATAAACTCAAGCACGTAATGCTGCCAGCTGTTCTAGAAGGATATCCAAGTGAATCACCAGTGAAAAAACAAAAAACTCAACCCGCCGCAGAACAGATGCGGAGTTGGAATCATACCAGTTTGCGCTGCTCTACTTTTTAAGCTTTCATGGATTTAATATAAGAACAGTTTACTGAGCTACATGGAGTACATACACATCTTCAGGCTGTCAATATGAGCCTTTTTCTCCCAAACTCACCAGAAAAACCTCCCTGGCCGGCACCGCCCGCGTTGTCGTCGTACACGAAGGACTCGCCCTTGAGCGGCGTGACACACGACGCACTTTCCTGTAGGAGGGGAAACGGGAAGTTTTGGAGCCAACAATATATAACCGGGTCACGTAGAAAACATTATCACGAGCACAGCTTTGTGCAATGAATGGACGCATGGGCGTGCAAAGGATTCACACGTCTCCACCCACCAGTCCGGTGTCGTACTCCTCCTCGCCGTCGTTCTCGTGCTCCTCGACCACGCTGGCGAAGCTGCTGGCGTTGGAGGAGGAGCGGGACAGGTCCTGAGCCTCGGGGATGGACGGCGCCCTGCAACACATGGCCAAACTACACACCTGGGTCACTCCGAGCGCAAACCCGCGTCTCCCTACACTGAATTTAACTGCAGCCTTTAAGAAGCAGTAATAGATGTATGTAAGCTTCATGTTGCTTTATGGTTCTTGACTGTCTGTATGATGCTGCCATATAACTTAATCCACATAATAGTCACCTGTTCTTAGTAGGAGGGAATTCTGGAGAGCTGTGATTGGACGAGTCCGATTTGTTTTCCAGCATAAAGTGGGTTACCTCCAGCGCCCTCATGGTGCAGGGTGACACCTCTCGGCTTCACGACAGGGAAGATGACACGTGAAGATGATGTCAGTTCACTCAATCATACGGTGACACGTTGAACATTGGTATTGGAAGCCGTTTCGAAAAGGGAAGAAAGAAGCCGGTCGGAGAAAAGTGTAAACATATTTTCCTTTGAGAAAAGCCTTCAGTGAGGAAATGCTCCAATGCTACGGATGCTATTGCATTATTATACACACCTGATCCAAGACTCTGATTGGTCCATAATTGGACGTAAAAAAAAATCTTTTTCCACTTTTTCAAATACAATTCTGACCTAATATATCTTTACTTTATTTTCCATGGGTTAAGGACCGAACATGTTTTCCTGGCTAATCCAATATGTTCCTTTGCTGACCAAGCACAATAAATAAAGTAACCTTTTTATAAATCGACCATCCTCATTAAAACTGCCATCGAACAAAAGCTCGTCTCTTGAGAAGTTTGTCTTCTAATGGCCGACTTACTCGTCACTTTATTGCCTTTCTTCCATCTGTTGCAAGAACATTCTCCCTCCACTACCCACTCGCTGCTGATCAGCTCTGGTTTGTCCTCTCACCTCCTCTCTTGGACCTCCTGGATGTTCTCGATGCCAATGGCACTGCTGCGACGGGAGCTGAACGGTCCGGACTTTTTCCTCGTTGGGCTTTTCCCAGGAATGATCAATGACTGAAGGTGAGCAGGGAGAGAAGATTCAGACACACACACACACAGTACGGGGGAAGTATAACTATTTCTCATTATATGCAGTGAGACGTGTGGAAAATATGCTGCAAAATGAATGATGAACTGATCCTGTAATGACATGATAATCCACGATACTCGGGGCTTCTGGCAGGAGCTTAATTATTCATTTATATTCTCTCATGAAAAGTTTCGACAAGCACCCTGTTGGGTTTCCTTCGAGGCTTCTATTTTAAGTACTTGGGTCAGACTTTCAAGTTTATTTGCTCAAACTCCAAGAAGTCTGGTACATGCTTCTAATTTAAGATGCATGATTCATCGATAGGGAACTGTGTAAAAAGAACATTAGTGGGAGTCTGGTTAATATTTAATTTCTGAACTGCTTATTTTTCTCTTTTAGAACAAACTTAAAAGTAAAAGGAAGTGAAGGAATGTATGCTTTGAAGCCCATGCAGTATTGAGTCATGAGACTACCTGTGAAATAAGGTGGGATTTATTGGATATAGCACTGTAACATTCCCCCGTCCGCGACGGATTAATTCCCTCAGCCACTCGAACGAGAGAACTGGATGAATTCATGAATGAATGAATGAGAGAAACGATGAGACTGAAACCATATTAAAATAAACAGGAATATCGAAAATGTGAAATCTTCTCATACCCACTGGAACTAAAACAGGCACATTTGAAAGAAAAAAGCTAAATCGACTGCACACTTTATGGTTATCTGATATCATGAGACAAATGTTAACACGACAGACGACACTAGCAAGCGAGAAGGGAGAAATATACATGAACCTCTTCTATTGTTCCTATCCCTATGGCACTGCCTCGCCGTCCATATTTACTGGGACTTTTCCCTGGAACGAGCAACGACTGAGCCCCAGACGGCAGCACAGAGAGACAGAGAGAGAGCAGAAGGGAGGTTGGAAAAAGGAAGGTGGAAGGAAAGGAAAAGGAGACACGGTGAGATCACATGCGCAGCACCGACAATTTAAACAGCAAGGTGAGTCGAAAAGAAGAGCTTCGCCAAAGACCAGACAGACAAGACATAAAAGATTGAGGAACTAGAGAAGCACACAGGAGAAGACGAGAGTGCCACTGAGGCAGGAGGCGTGCAGAGTTTCTGCCCCGAGGGCAACAGGCGTGCGTTCGGACAGGAGACAAAAGGGGGCCTAGAGTGCTGACAGGATCCAAAGAATCGCTTTTAGCTTCTTTTTTTTTGTTGCTTTTTTAGGAGTCATGAGTTCCAGATGTGGGCTCCATTTAGTCCAAATTCTAAACACTGTCAGCAGCCGGAACCCAAAGACACAATACGAGACGCCAACGGCAGGACGGTGCGCTCCTTCCGCGGGCGAAAGGCGCCACGCATCCACTGCGGCCTTCACGTGCGTTCAAGTACAGAGAGGCAGCGGAAAAGAGGCGGCGGCAGGAAGCCGCGCGGCGCAGGGGGGCGGGAGTCTGGGTAGTCAAACGGCCGTTTGCACTGAGCTCACTTTATTCGACTCGACCGGGGATCCTAAAAAGAAAAAAAAAAACAACCTCGCGGACCCACAGCGACCAAACAACATCCTAGATATCCAACTCTACGTGGGCGGTGAGGAATCTACCAACAGGTGAGGATGGATGAAATGGAGAAAATGAATTACGGGGTCAAAACAAAACAAAAAAAAGCAGTCATGACAGCTAGAGTTGGTAATCTTACAAAAACATTTGTTCTCACCCGAACTGCAGTTTTCAATAAGCTGCCAGCTTCACGGCTGTGAATGCTTAAAATAGCAATGTTCACTGCGGATGTCCATTATGATAATTTTGGGAGAGAGAGAGAGGCTTAAAAAAAGGACCGTCTGTCAGTGACTTGGCAACCTTCACTGGAAATGAGTTGGCACCGCCGGCCCGGCTTTTTCCCGTTGGACGATCCTTTCAGTAGGATCAGCGTACTCTGGCGAGTTTCCTAAAATTATCGACCCCAGCTTCAAAAATCAATGGGAGACGATTTAATGGAAAGCAAGAGTGAAATAAAGATGTCGGGGATGAAAGCAAACGCTGCGGTGATGACAGACTGATGAAAGTAAAGCAATGAACCAACAGGAGTTATTTGTTATCGGTCGTTTTTTATATATCCGGCAGCATGGGGTTAAATCTTTCGCATCTTGGGCGTCGCGTGAACCAAAACGGGCTTACTTACAATCCCCGGGGTTTTGGGGCTCTCTGCGGGATTGTGGGTAAAGCTGCCACTGTGACTAGTGGAGACTGTGTGTGACTTCTTGTTACTGAGGCCCATGGCGTCCATAGACTGGCTTCTGCTGCGGATGACCCGCTACAGAGAGAGACGAGGAGACACCGTCAGGGGTCCACACGGGCTTCACAGCATTATATAACGCGTGTGTGGGACTCTACGCTCAAACTAACGTCCACTTATCGAGATTATCACAGGGGTTCTTTTCAAAGTTGACCAAAACGTTGGTGTTCGTGAATACAGATTGGTGTATTTTTTTTTATTAGATATTCTCAAATTGTTGGTAATAGGCCTTTTTAACAGAAAGTCGTTTCAAATGTCACAACAGAAAAAGCTAAGGGGAGAATACCAAAATTAACGGTGGCTGATATTTCTTTAGTTGGGTCCGTTTTCAGGGTCCTCGTACGTCTCTGCAAACCACAAGCTACTTAGAATATAGAATATTTTCCATCAGCCTCTTAAAACACTTTAAAAAGATGTATTTTAACAACTCCTGTAAATTAATAACAACCAATCTTTGTGGATTCTGCACCGTGGTCAGCAGAAATCTATGTTTCTTACATTCTTTCTGGTGACATCTGTGAAAAAGACCCATCAGGAAATACTTACTAATATCAATCCTAATTTTTTTAAATATCCAGCTTTCAGGCATTGTTAAAACTTCTAAAAAATGTTCTAGAATATTTACAATTGTCTCGTCATTTTGAAATGAAGATTTCTATGCTTTTGATGTGTAAATATTTCGGAATCAATATGTTGGATCTCCGAGGGCACAAATGTTTGCACACGCAAGTGTCCATGTGTTTGTGCACACAAGGTTTGTGCACATGTGCTCCATGTGTGTATGCAGGACTATTTCTGAACACTTAGGGGCAGTGCAGGTCAACAGGAGGAGAGGCTGCGAGAAAGAACTGTAGGTTCACCGGAGGTCAGGGAGGGCGTAGGCAACGTGGGGGGGGGGGGTGATGAAGCTGCATTGCTTATCTAAAGTACACTGTTGTGTCAGGGGAGGGGGGGGGGTGAGGGACAGTGTGAGCCAAGAGGACAGAAGCCGAGAAGGGAAGATGGAGCGGGAAATATTTGCAGATGTAGTTTGTTGGAGTTTGAAGAAGAGAAGAAACATGTGGGTTCCTTGGGCGATAGGAAGGAAAACAGAAGGCCATATTTATATTTATACCGAGACGAAGCTGGTTGGGTTTTCTGAATACACATAAAAGATGGCAGAGAACCGTTCGGTGGCACAGAAACGAGAGGAAACCCGCGGGGGGGAGGAAGGGGGGGGGGACGCTGGGAGACACGCGCACCGCATCATCAGCTCTCTAACGGGGGGTCATTAAATAGTTCATCAGGCACAGCGGCCACCGCCGAGCCTCGCCACCCTAATGGTCATTGACGGAGCACTCCGTCACAGGCGGTGCCTTCCACGCGCAACAGAACGGTCGACCCAGCCGACAAAAAGCACGCCGGGAGGCGGCAGAGGGGGGGGGGGGATGGCGGTTGAAAACACAGCGCCAGCAGCCGAGTTGGGGAATTAAATGCCGCAGAGGGCCGGTCCTTTGAGATACGGCCAATGTTCTATCCTTTGTTTTCTCGTGTGTGAATACCCAGAGTCCCAGCCGAGAGACGAGAGACAAAGAAAAAAAAAAGCATCCTCAAAGTTTCTGCGTTAAGAACCATTCCCTCATGCAGGCGGAGCAGCAGACTAACGGTCTTCAAACGAGGGACGGGGGGCCCGTACCTTGAAGGATTCGAAGAAGCCTCCCCCCCCCGCGCCGGCACCGTTCTCCAGCTTGTCCTCGTCTCCGCCCAGGCCCATCATGGACTGGCTGTTGGCGTGCAGCTCCTCGTACAGGGTCTCCAGCAGGGCCGAGCGCGTGCGCTCCTGACAACAACACAGCCGGCCGGCTAGTTAGTAGCGTCCCTTCGGACGACGCGATACGGGGGGACACCGCCAGGCAGGAGAAATCGGCACTGGAGCTCACGCTGACAGGTGTGTACAAATGTCCCAACACCCCCCCTACACACACACACACACACACACAAAGACCAGGTCTCTCCTGACCTCGAGCTTGGCAAACTTCTCGGCCTTGTAGCAGGCGTACTCTGCGTTGATCAGCTTCGTGAAGAGGAACTCGCGGAACTCCGGGCCCTGAGGACGGTCAACGTAGAGAGAGAGAGAGAGAGAGAGAGAGAAAGGACGGGCGGCGAGAACCGAGGTTTTTATAATTTGGAGCTCGTAAAGGCGAGATTAGTTTGTGCGATTGCTGACCTTCATGAATACGGCGGGGTCAGGCAGAGCAGGCCCGAAGAAAGGTACGTCGTCTCGGGCTGTCACGGACACCTGCAGGGGGAAGCAGGGGAGCACAGCCTGTGACGCACAGAAGAAGAAAATCTCGCGCAATAGTGAAGGAGTGCACACTGAAGCAAAGTTTCTTGACGGATTAGCGCCAGCTGTCCAGAACCAACCTTGTAGGTGACGTTGTCTGTACGCGCGTTCTCCACCTGCACCACCACGTACGCGTGCAGGAAGTTGGATTGGATCATGTCTGGGACGAAGGGCGTGTTCTCCTCCTGGAACACGATGGCCACGATGTCGTTGCCTATGTGCCTCTTCCTCTGCAGCTGGGTGGCACCGAGCAGAAATGAAAACTAACTACAGTGGAAACATCTCAAATGACTAGTTGGAGCATCTCAAATCCCTTCCAGGGAGTCATGCTATAAAGTTTGCCTGGGAATGAGAATAGTCCAAGCAGAGAAGTGGACAGAACTTCAATCCACCAGGACAGCGTGTTCTCTGGGATGATAGATCTTTTAGGTTTTTTACCACAATCATCCAAAGCATTGGTGTTTTTCGGTCCCTATTCCTTCCTGTGCCAAGGACGGCGGACATAGCCACTCGTAGTATACAGCATATGCGACTTGTATGAAACCTACAGTACTAACTGCCTATTAGGCCCACATGAATAATGAATAACATTCATGACTATTACTATTATTTGCATTTAGCGTAGCTGGGACAAGTGGAGCGGTTTTTGAGCCGAAGCATAGAAACGCTGTTGATGAGAGGGAAACGAATGAATTGGAAAACCTGCGCAGGCGCTGCAAACCAAACAAAAATGGATTGTGATTCTGCAGACGTCCGGCTGTGAGCAACACAAATAGTCAGTGCTGAATAGCTACACATTGTTGAAATAATGTTACCTTTTGCCAAAAGGACATTCGAGAGTGACTGTGGTTCTTAAGTTTTATATTTGTATCCATGAGATGCCTTTATTGCCAAGTACCAGGGACCCTTACTTGCATTTGGCTTTTGTGAAAATAAGTCTAATTAAAAAAGGTTTACCTTTCAGCAGTCCCAAAAAAAGAATAACGCTGCTAGTTATCAGAATCATAAAATACCAATGAGCAAAACATACAGTGTATATCAGGCTTTCATTTGTGAGTAACTAACAGAAATGTTCAATAGAAAAGGTTGGAAGTGCAGACGGCTCCCGTGGTCCTCCTCAGTGAGTCAGTAAGCCTCAGTCAGTCATCGGGCCATTTAACACACTAAAGTGTCCTCTGCACTGTTCGCTGGCACGGTCTCCAGAGGTGTTTAATACAACAAATATTTACAGGAACTCTGATTCTTCTCCAGCCAGGAGTCCGCTCGCTTTGCGGCATATTTCTGGCAAAGACGCGAGAATAACAAACCGTTTTAGGACGTATTTTTTTTAATCAATTTGCTATATCAGACAAATACACTATTTAGAAGGTTCAAACTGTGAAGGAATCTAACCATCATTCCATTAATGAAGTAGGTACCACAATTTGCCAGATTTGTTCCGTTCATTCCTAAAGCGTTTGTATCAGCCATAACTGCTGAACCTCTGCGGTGTATTCAAACAAAAACGCCACCATGAGATCCCTAAGATTTGATAGACGTAAATGAGCAAAGTCCTAACAGAGGAGACACAACCGGATCATATTTTTTTTATACATCTAATCATGACATTTATTCCTTTTTCAACTGATCGGGCATTAACTTAGTGTGAAACAGGCCACAGCGGGCAGCAGACCATCCGGGTTCTACTGCCTCATCACCGGCCTCATCGGCACTTAAACTCAGCAGACGCGAGGCCGGATTAAGACACTCGACATCTGTTTACGCCAAACATCTGCTCCAATCGGATCTCATTCAGCCCGATCTGTCCACGTTAATTCTTCACTCCCCCCCCCCCCCTGAAGTAACGCCATTATGTTTGCACTTTGCCAAGTTCCCTCGTGAATTATCCCACGTGGCTGTTGTTTATTTCCACGGTTTCTCGGCACAATGGACGGTCTGGGCCGGGTTACCTGTATAAAACACTCTTACTGCAGCTTACTGCAACATTTCTTCACACATATGAAACTCTTAAGCCAAAGACCGACAGCTCATTGGTAGATAGGAAACCCGTAACGAAACAAAATCCACCAACAGCATCTCTAAAGCTCATATTTAAGATAAAAATGTACTGTCGCTTTACCTGCTGCGAGTCTCCCTCTGTGTAAGGAAGCTTGGTTGACACATGGAACATAATCTCCTTATTGTGGAAACTCGTGTAGACCGATTCTGTGCCGGTCTGCCCGTGAGCGACGTCCAGCCCGCCTCGAAACCTGACCGAGGGAGACAGGATCCAAGGGCGGACGCATGAAAAGCCAAAGGAGATGGAAAAGGAGTGGGAGAGAAGGAGACGTGTGAAGTTAAGCTGGAGAAAGCATTGCGAGACCGAGCTCATCCATCACGGTGGGAATGCCAAGGGCATCTTCTGCCTCCTCAATGGCAATGTCACCAACACATATCAGGACGCCCTTAATTGCCTTTTTAGGGATTCATTCAGAGCCCAACTGTGATTAAGTGGCTATTGACAGACATGGGGTGGAGCGCTATACACAGAGAATTAAAAGCACTTTAAATCTGCCGCTGGGAAAACTGAATGAAATTGAAGTGAATTTTGTCCAAACCCTTTAAAGTCATGCAGCTCAATCTTGTGGCCCAGAAACTCCAAGAACTCGACAAAAGAAGGACTTTCTTCCATGTTCCCAAACAGCTCCTCCTCCGATGTCTGCGTGGAGGAAACAAAGGACATTATCGGTGGCGACAGCGTGACTTTTAAGAGGATTCGCAGTGGGCAACCCGTGCAGCACACTCACCTGGCCGAACTTTTGATAAATAACCCCGAACTTGAAGTTGTTGCTGATCACGTGCTCGTCAAAGGTGACGATGAGCCTCGAGGCCTGAGGACGAGAGAAGAGAAGGGACTTCAGTGAGGCTCACCGGAGGCGTGAGGAGAGTTGGCTGGGAGGATCCGTGCCTACCTTTGGGTAGAGGACGGGATAAAACCGGTCCACGTTCACCTCTTCGCAAACCAGCTGGAGATGCAAGAGAACATCTTTTCTCAATTAAGGGCTGAATGCGTTTTAGGTCAAACTGTAATTCTGTGTATTAATAACGGCCTACCTTGGCCATCTGAACCACATTGGGGAACTCGGTGAGGCAGGAGATGGGAATGACGTCATGGTGAGTTTTTAGCTTTGTGCTGCAAGTCAAAAGCCAAAACGATCACGTCCAACAAATCCTGCTTCTCGAATGACTTTGCTTAATATCACATTTAAGAGTTTCCTTAAAACTGAGACTGGCACAGTCTGGGCCCTTATCTGCTTAACCATGGCAACATGACTGTGCCTCAGAGATCTGGGCTACAGAACGGCGACGCAACAGGGACTGCAGACCCCACAGCCCCCCCCCCCGCGGCGGCTCTGCAGGGTGGAATAAATAATGGAGCTGCAACAACTCGAATGCATCTGGTCAGTGTCCCAGCTACACGTACTTACACACAGGAACCACCAGGAGGTGATTCTCTTTAAGTCTAAGGGGCACTTAACCTGCAGGTACAGCTTACGTATTAAGATAACTGCACATCACAATACAAGAACAAAGTTCCACTGCTGGGACAGTTTGTCGGGTCAGAAGAACTGTGGATTTTAGAGGTTGAACGGTCTCAGTGATAATTCGAGGCAGTAAGCTTAAGAGGTGCAGTAAATGGGGACAACAGATGTTTAGGTTCATATGTTCTAACAACGTGCCTTCTGAACTTTTTATGTTTCTACATTTCATGGAATTTTAACAAAAAATCTTCGTCATCTACTTAGTCTCACCGATGCTTTAAATGCAGACAGTGACTCAGCGCTTCCGACTACAGGAGCGCAGGGGCCGCGCCGGACTTGGGTGATGGGGTTGACCGTGGGCGGTGCATCGCTACGCCAAAAAAACATTTGTGGGCTGCGCGACTGTTGCCTCGCAACACACTCGTCCCCCTCTCCAAGCTCCATTAACAAAGAGCGAACGCGGCCACTGAAACCTGGAGTGGAGCCTCTCGGGCGCTAAAAATGAATTCGCAGGTCACGGCGAGCGTGTGTCGGCTCGGCCTCGCTCGCCCTCGGCCGTCTTTCGGGAGGACGCGTGAAGGAGCGGAGGACTTCGAGAGGACTGGTGGGGGCCGTTTTTTAAAGTAATCTAAAACAAGAGGACCTTTTAATGTTCATGCTGCGTCACACTTTAACACAGCAAACTCGTATTGTTACACAACTCCCAGAAATTAATCATGAAAATACTTGTTGGACCCAGGCAGGTGTTTTTGTTGTGTTTGCTCCATATGGCTTCGTTTTGGGGGATCTATGAGTAAATGCCTAAAATCCCTGCATCACGTGGCCATCTGAAGCCTCAGTGGTTGCACTTCTAAATGGGAGAAACAATGACCAAAGAGAGAAACATGGAGAGAGAGAAAAGAAACAACAGCAGGGGATATTACAAAGGAGAAAACTGTTATTCAGGCCCGGGGGGGGGGGGAGAGAAACCAGGTCACATATGAGAGTAATAGGAACTGTACCGAAGCATCAAGCGCAGATGCTCCTGATCCCCAATGACATCGTACTTCATGGAAAAGACCAAGTGGCCCAGGGCTGCATCCATGGTGTAATAATTAAAGTGTTCCTGGGGGGGAGAAAAGCAGGAACAACCTAAACGTGAGGATGAATACTCCCCCAGCAACAAACAAACCGCTATAATTAATCAGAAATGCAAGGGGATGAAGGGAGTACCGTTCCTTCTTTGTTTGTTGCTATTTAGGAAACATGTTATATAAAAGGGTACAGGACAGATATACAGGCAAGCAATGAGTATTATAAAATATAAGCAACATTTATTTACGTATTTCGTGTCACTTTGGAACAGAATAGCGTCGGCGTAGCATATGGACAAGAGCAACGCGTCTTTATGGAGATTGCAGACTGGATTTTAATGCCACAAGCAAACTCACCAGAGAAGTGAATTTAAGAAGTGTCGATATTAAAATGCAGACGGAATACATCAAGGTCAGATGTTTAAAGCCGGACAGCTTTTCTCGTCTCCTCACCTTGCCCATGAATTGCTTCCTGTAGATCTTGGCGCTGCTGTTTGTCTCCAGCTTGACGAGGGAGGCCGGACAGGGCGGCTGGTCGGCCTCCGGTGCCTCTTTGAGCTCATGATTGTTCCCTTCGATCCAGTAACCTCCAAACTGGGGCAGCAGGATGAGTGGGAACGGGCTTGTGCGACCGAGAACCTGACAGGGGGATAAAAGCAGGAAGAACGCTGGTCAGTAACGGCCAGAAGTGGCGTTAATCGGCGCATTGCAGAACGCCTGAAACGGGTTTAACCCGTCCAAACCTCCCACGGCGTAACGCTTGAGTTACTAATGCAGGGAGTGACGTGTACCTCGTGAACGCTGGGGTAAGGGATGTAGTCCTCTTCTGTCTGCGGGAGAGAAAACAAATATGAGTCGAGCCGACAAACAGACGCTTCTAGCCAGAATTTCAGTTTTGGGCGCATGAGGGGAATAACAATGGGAATACAAGCTGTGACTGTATCGTCCAGCTTTTCCTCAGGGGGATTTCTTTTTCTCATCGGGCGATTAGACAAATAAAACATTTTTTTCCATTGGGAAAAAGCCCGTCTGAAGCTCGTATTATATATTTTACGACTTGCAAAGAGCTGAACCCTCAGAGAGCGAAAAAAAGAGACGACTACTCAAGCTTTCACTTTCACTGAAAATGGGACTGGTTGGATTCGATTCTCACTTCAGATCTCCTTTTACCGCCTGGCAGCTGTGTTCTGTTATTGGTCCTTCCTCTGTGATGTCCATCGCAAAAAAACACGTGTTGCAATGTACCTCCTCTGCAAAACTCACTCTCCTTTAATTCCGGATAGCGATTTGGTCAATTTCCCAACAACGTCCTTTGAACAACCTCAAGCTCCATTAAGAATGCTATCAGCTAAAGCAGAAGTGAAAGCAAGAGAACCTTTTGTCATACTCAACTAATTAGGAAACGCAACCTTTTTTATGACACTGGATCGTTGGTGTTGCAGGAGGTGGACTATTAAAGGAAAGGTCAGGGGATCTCAGTCTCATGTGGAGTTAATTACATGCATAGAGGCCTTTTTAAATTAAAATTCAGTCTTCAGGGGAGACGTTGGATTAGGCAACAAAAAACTTTTTGTTAGATTCAAGAAAAGATTGTCGTTTGGGGAAAAATAAACGCGCCGCCATAAAAGTGCCGTTATTAAATGTGCAGAAGATCCTGGCACCTACCCTGTGTGTGTGTGTGGTTTTCACACTTCCTCGTTTATAATACGAGGTTAAAACATAAAATATGTACCTATTGGCTATCTATTATTTGTGATAGCTACTAATGTTGAGGGAAGCCACATCTTCCTGTTAAATGCTTTCCCGTCGTCTCGCTTCAGAAGATTACCATCTACTCTGTGACTTAACCTCAGACGTCCCGCTGAAAGGATCTGCCGGTCTGAACTGTCACCTGCGTAAGCCTCTCTAGGAAACGGGGACCGCTTTTAGGATTTGGTTGCGTACCGGTGAGCATCCCGAAGCCTGTCTGACAGCTGATAAGGACTTACAACGCCGCCATTGCGGATTCTTTTACCAGACTGCGGCCCTACGAGGAGGCGGGAGGATTTCTGCGACTCACTTTGAGGGGGGGAGGCAGGGGGCATCTCTGCTCGTCCATCCTGTAACCCTGCAGGAGAGGAAAGTGATGCGATACTGAGCGGACAGGTGCAATATGTACACAACGGGGTTTACACACCTGCAAAGATAAACACACACACACACACACACAGACGCATTTACGGAAAGTGCAGCAGCAGAGAGCGATATTAGGCTTTGTGATCGTAATAATTCATGTTTACATAACGCGAGCGCCATCAGCAGATGGAGCACAGAAAGAGGAAGCGTCAGAGGAGTGATATGTTGGGGACTATAAGCGAGTGAGAAAGATAAGCAGAGGTCCGTGGGAACAGGAGAGGTGTTTCACGGGAGATATCATTAACCACAATGCAGGGCCAAGATGTGCCAAAAACAGGGCATTTACTTCGTCCTTGAATCATAACTCCTGACAAAGCACAGAGACAGAGGAGGAACAAAACATTCCTGATCAGCGGCTTCTTTGTGTGGAATAGCCTGCGGGCCAGCTCCGAATCCTATCAAATTTAATGCACTTTTGTTTTTTTCCAGGACTAAGGAAGATGAATCAAATGAAAATCGGAAATGGCTTCGTTAATCTCATTCTATGGAGGCCGATCCGCTGCTTTTTTTTCCCCCCCTCGTTCCTTTTATTTGGTGGCAGAATATGCAACGCTAATGATAAAATATGCAACTGTTGTATGAAACGCGGACATGCTGCTTCTGCGCTCATGGGGTGGACAACCAAAAGTAAACGCTGTTAATTTGGTTTGAATCCCCCCCCCCCCGTCTTCACGCAGAAACATCCTCATGCCTGTGATTTTTCTGGCAGTAAGATGTTGTTTTTTGAGCCTGAATCATGTTTCTGTGTCCTTTCCAGCAATATTCTCCTCCATCAGAGATATTATCATAGTAGACACCAACTGTTTCCGGGCGGCCTCGCCTCGACGAGTTACAAAGTCAGCGTTTGATATATTTGACAATTTATGAGATGACGCGTGGGCGAAATAAAACATGTTGTAAGCTGACCGACCGAGACCAAAAGGAAGGGAGTTAGGATTCGGTTGATAATGTGAACATAACCATGCATAGTGTCAAAGATCGTTTTATTCTGAAGCCGCCGTTCTTGATCCTGGTTTGTGTCACACTGGAGTTGAACGCCGCCGGGTGCGAAACAAACTACATTCTACAGCATTTTGCACGTCTGGTGACACATAACAACACTAGACACAGTTGTAAGGAGAAAACAAAAAAAAGGCCTTGTTCAGAAGCATCATCTGTCTGAAGGCAGCCTAAAGGCACCAGCAAACATTCAGGGCAAAGAGCGAGATACATGGAGGAACACTTCAAAGTGTTGCAGCAGCTGGGTTGTGATCGGAAACACAGAAATAGCAGGAAGAGCAGAGAGCCTCGAAAAACAGAGGTAAAAGGAGGTTTGAAAGTCCAAAGCAAACAAAATTCTCAGGCGGCCTTTTGATTGGAGCTTAGGAAGGAAGAACGGACGGGCCCGAGGACCGCTCACAGTACCTGCATCCTTTCGATCATGGCAAACAGGTCCGAGGTCTGGGGAAGAGAGTCGACACGGGTCCAAAAAAGGGTTGGTATGTGTTTCCCTGTCACACTTCATCTCTGCAATCTAGGAAAAGCAGTCCGAAGACAAGGAGACCTCCCGGAGCTCCTCTGTGCTTCTCCCTCCAACATTAGCTGGATTTACTCCGTCGGTATCTGACCTACTAGACGTTTGGCGTCCAGGTGCTGCTCACCGGACGAAGCCCGAATCGTTAAACCGAACCTCGACCGCGCGCGGAGCGTCATTCGGTGTTCTGTCCGATTAGCGGCGCCGCTGGTACAGGTCAGAGAACAACACCCCCGGGCGCGCATTCATCTCCTGCTGGGGCCACGTTATGGATTCCCAGCAGCTCCGACCTGAGATGAGGAGGGTCACAGCTGCCCTGGAGCTCACCGTGTAACGCAAGCAGACTCAAGTGCCAAGCTGATGTTTCCACATGACTAGATTAGATTTACCGAGGACGCTGAAGGACCGGCGAGACACACACACACACACACACGCACACAAAGAAAACCATGTTCGCGTTTATATGCGCATGCATGCACATGCATTTTCCTATGCAAACTTACTTAAACCTACACTCACTCGCGCACACCTGACACTGACAGAGTGAAGCCGGGAGTCTGTTGTTTGAAAGTAAAGATAAAGTCATATGAGATACCACTCTTTCATCTGCAAAACAAACAACAACAAACAGCACGTCCCTCGCTGATCATGGTAACAACACAATATAATAACTGTGAGAAATAAAGGCAGCAATGGACACCTGGACTGTGGAGGAGCTGTGCGAGTGCGTGCATCATTATGTTGCATCATCGCACAATTTATAATATAAATATAAAAAATAAAAAGCATGCATTCGCTGCAGGCGGTTTCTTCCCAAACACAAACACGGTTGATCTCCAGGGGGCTGAAAACAGATCCTCCAGCAGAGGAGCATGTGTGTATCTGTACAATGTACAAAGAATCCAATACACTGTCCTGCAGCACCAAGCATGAATCTATCTGTCTCCAAGCTACCTCAAGATTTAAACAAGCAACAACTACGGGAGCGAAAAAAGAATCTCTCACTTCCAGCAATCGAAAAATACTCACATCACTGTGGCACCGCCTCTTGAGAAAAGGCTTGGTGGGAGGACGAGTGAGCAGCCCGTCCAGCAAGGCATTCTTAGCTATCCTCAGATCAGTCATCGTTCCTCAAGTATACGGACTCAGGCAGGCAGACGAGAGCGTCACAGTCAGCCGGCAGGAGCTTGACAATGGCACTTTGCACTCAGCGGCGTCGCTCAGCCACTGAACTGGGGGAGATAACTTGACGGCTGGCAGCATCCATACATCCGTGTTTGAGGTAAAAGCATTAGCGTGTGAAAATTCCCCTTCCTTTTTTTCTTTTTTGTTAACGCCTGCCCCCGCCCTCCCGTATAGACACACACAGCTGTTCTGCAGGAAGCAGTAAGGGAGGGAGGATCGATGTTTCTACCCTCTCTGTGCACAACTATCTTCTTTGTGACACACACACACACACACGCATGCATATTGACGGACAGAAAAAAGCAGTTCTCTATTTTGTTGAATCACAATGAGACTACGCTCTTCCTCTTTTTTCTTCATCTTGTATTTCTCAAGCTTCCCGCTCAGTTCTCAAGTGTGAGAACAGGGCGGCAGAAGCATTCGTTTTACCGCCGAGGACAAATCATTGACACATCTACATGTTTTACAATTCGGGGTTTTGCAGCACATGTTGAGAAGTGGGTTAATTGCACCTGCGGTGCTCCTATAGATCGTCAGTGCTGATTACAAGCTTTTTTTTTTTTTAAAAGCAATTATACTTGTTATTATATATTTGTTTTAATCGCGTAATAACATCGGCTGGCTGAATAAATGAGAAAAGTTGATTAGTTAGTGTGGCATCGGGCACTTTTCACTGCATCTTGTCCAAATGTGAAAGCTCCACGTGTTATCTCATGCACCAGGGGGGGAAATGAGAGTCAGACGAGCAGCTCAGCTCCTTGCATGTGGAGATGCAGTTGAGCACCATGACGGTAGAACATAAAATATAGAAGAGGGAGAAACCGAGGAGGGAGGGAAAGATTAAACCCGAGGGAAGCACTGCAGGATGGAAGATGGGAGCTGTCGTACTGTGAGAGCCGAGTCTCTTCTGTCCAGCTTCCTCCATCAGGCACACGCGCGACATCAGATATCAACCAACACTGACCTACTTAAAGATAAAAATATATATTTCACGCGGACAGATTCTCCCTATATATGTTGAGTTTTTCATTTTGCCATATAGGAGATAAAAGCTGTCAGCCTTAATCTAAATTAAACTCAGTGGTGAGTACACAAGAGGAGCAGAGGTTACGTGGGTGGAATAAAAGGGCACAGGATACAGATTTTATATGGACAGATATTCAGTTGATTAATACGGCATTATCAGCCTTCAAACTACAACGCTAGCGAGACACTTATCGCATCCATTTGGACTTTGTACGTATTGCTCACTTGCAGCTGGTTACGTGATTATAGTTTTTATATTACGGTAAAGGACAGTAAATTTGTAACATGCTGCAACTTGCAACTTCTCTGTTCGAGCATCAGACCAGTATGTGATCAGGCGCGTTGCATCGCAGTGTCGCGCGAGGCGCGCGTGCGTACACACAGCGGCGTTGCGATCACAGATGTCTCATTGAGAAGACAAGTGTTGTCGCGGCCGTAGCTTGAAGGTCACAGCTGACCGAGCTATTGTGTTTGGAGGGCTGGGACGGAGAACGTGTTGCGGCATCCCGGGGTTACATTTCATTACTGATGACCTGCTCCGTCAGGATTGAAGTCCAGACCTTTCTACTCAGCTTCTAGGTTGAGGAGTGCAGCTCTGACTGCAGTACTGCAGTTCCTCACAACCACAGACCCATTTGAATTTCCTCAGACAGATTGTCAATGATTTGCATACAAAGCAACATCCCCACGCCTGCTCACGGTCCCTACATGCTCTCTGGGTTTGCCGCATCCTCGAAGGCAATACAGGGAAATGGGGAAAAAAAACGAAACTTCAAAGCGAGTCGATCGACGGGCCCAGAAGCCTGTCATTTAAGCCAGAGAAAATCCACTGGGGTCCAGAGAAGAGTTCCATCTTGCCGCTTCCGCGTGAACCTCCGTCTGCCGGGGGACACAGACGGAGTTCATGCGGATGGACCTCCGCCTGCGCGGTGGAGCTGGTTGATTACCACGAGTTGTTCAAGGTCTACAGAGCTCAGGCTGGGTTTCCTGCATCTCGCACGCACTGGCTTCACTTTAGCAAAAGCAAGTAAGATTCAGTTCAACGAAGAGGCACTGCAGCTCATCGTATCTTGCATTTCGATAAATGTATTTTCAACACTACCTGGATTCATTATGCACAGTTTTGAACAAATCAACTTTTGCATTGTGCTTGCATTCGCTCTTATGAACCTCTATTTGCATCTAATGACAGACGGCTATTAAATAAAGCAGATGCAATTATATTTAACAGTCACCTCGGCACTGAAGATTTAAGTTTCAACCTCAGGCAACAATCTGTCAGAACGTTAATGAATTAAACATGGGTATGGTTATAATTCCCTGCGCTACATCTTTTTACTTTATCAAGTGGTTATGTACGTGTGTTTTTACCTCATGTTTCTAGCCTGGTGTTATTATTATTATAGCCTCGGGGACAAATTCAAGGTCTTGAGCTATCAGACTTGGAGATCTTATCACCTTGAGGCCACCAGTACTAATCAGGTAGCTACAACACGCTGAATGAGGTGCAAAGGAAACCTTTCCAAGAAGCATGTCTTCAGCTACGTTTATGCACAGTCGACGGTTTCACTGCTTTACCGAGAAGCACAACAAGTTCAAAAAATTGCACAGACTGATAATTCAATGGAGCAGTTACAGACGTTTCCCCTGATGACTCATAAATGCACTGTTGGTATTTCTCTCCTGTTCCGATAAACCCACAGAGAACCCATTTGGAACACAAATTTCCGTACGATCAAATAATCAGGTCTACAATGTGAATTAATAAAGTATGTAAATGAGAAAAGGTCCCACACAAAGATGTGGAGCCAGCATTCAAAAATAAAATATCCCAGAAGGTCTATTCCGTGCAGCTCCATACACAACTACACATAATTAAACCATTGCTTCTTGTATTTCCGGTGCGTGTGTAACCAAAATAATTTGGCATCCATCAGAGAGGAACAGCCGCTGCAGCTCTATATTTGTCCCGGAGAGTTGACGGCGGGGACAGACTTCACTTCCAGACACCACAACAAGGTGTCAACAGCAAACCGAGGGTCGGGGGACAATCGGGCCACCTTTTACCTGGTGTGACATCTGAAAGATATGATGGGAAAAACAGAGGGAGGAGACCAGAAGGGCGTCATAATGAACTGACGCATTGAAGGAAGAACTGTTCACTTTCATTTTGGATTCATCCCCAAGACCAGCGTTTGTTGTGAAAAGAGTCATTTGGAGAGAGAAGGACAGCGAGGAGAACCTTCAGCTTAGTTTGTCATTCAAGCAACAGGAGCACAGGAAAAGTGTGTGACATCATTGGCTCGTCCCATTAAAGAAGATCACTCACTGCAATGAGAAGGGAGCCGCTATTAACGTTGTCCTCTGTGTACAATCTCGCCCGGAGCCAGTGAGGCCGACAGCTGCATTTTTTTGTCCGTAGCTTTTTACACCGTCTACTTTGAAGGCGATGAGTGCGATTAGAGGAGCGATGGGACGCGGTAGTGCACAGGAGAACTGCACGAGGGGAGAAGGAGGTGAAGGAACGAGGGGGGAACAAAGTGCAAAAATTGATACAAAGCAAGAAGAAGAAAGGACCCTCAGCTTTTATTTCTCAACCCGCTGCCCTCGCCTCCCTTTGTCCGATTCCCTCCTCTGTGTGATTAGAGTGAACTACCAGCCTGACCAGGGTTCTGGTCCCAGCACAGCACTTCACACGTTGTGTCCGTGCTAGAACTCGTCAGCCCGTCTGTGCATGCAACCTGTTCACAAACCTGCAACAGAGGGCGCTTAAAAAACGCTGCTCGGGAGCAGAAGAGTCAAAGGACAATAGAACAATTTACGATTTCTTGGTGAGAATTGGCGGAGACTCGCAGGCCCACGCCGGTCGCTTGTGGTGTGTTGCAATTCGATCCTTTATCGGAGGGGTCTTTTCATCTAAATGCAGTCTATTAGAAGAGATCGCAGGCCTCCTATTAGCACTCGGGCAGAAGCGAGGATTCTCAACAAACGGAGCTGCACCTTTTACGACGGAGGAGTCGCGGGCGAAGGAATCTATTCGTGACATCGCAGCGAAAGCGTTCTCTGTTGCCTCTGATCCTCGGCTGATTCCCAGAAAATGGTGGCTGTCAGATGTTTCCCGCAGCATCCTCAGCCTCTCAGAACAGACAGAGGGAACTTTGTTACGTCTTTCATACGGTGCAGCCGAAACACAAGAAAAAAGAAGAAAGGACGTCAGAGGCAGGAAGGACGCATGAAAATCGGCCTACTGAGAAGGGGCTTACGGAGCATCACGTTACATTCTGAGGTGACACATTTAACCGTCCCGTGGGAGTAACGGAGGTAGCAAGGGCGAACACCAAATGGGAAAAATAAAATAACAAGGGGGGAGGGTCTATGTTTTACCACAGCATCAATCATCACGTGTGTGCAATAGACACGAGTCACCTGGCTGCTGCTTCGGCATGCAGAATGAAAAAAAGAAAAAAAGGGGGGGGGGGGGCGTCGCACGACGGTTCAAATCCATCTTGATCTTCGAAAACTAGACCGAAAACTGAGGGCTGCCTGACAGCCTGCCTCCTCCACTGCCGATGGCGTGCTTGGCGGCTGTCGTCAAGGAGGATGAATGTTCCTCTGGGTGTGTGTGTGTGTGTGCTTGTTTTTGCCACTCCTCCAATGACTAACAAGGCAGATGACATAAAAATATCTGCAGAAAAGGTAAAGGTTTGACTCGGGGAGAGATTTCAGGTCACATTCTGACAATCAACGTTATCAAATACCAGCCTCCTGAAAGATGACGTGATGATTGGCATCATCGGTTTGAATTATCACGCAAAACACCCTCAGGAAACATGTGAACGGTCACGCACAGTCTGGACTACTACTGGGGATTAGCGCTCATCTCACTGCGTGGAAGTCTTTCATTTGCCATTAGAAAAGCCTAATGTGTTAATAATCAATACAGCCAAAGCACACGTTTGTTCCAATTCCGACCAACTGTTTTATCAGGACGAATGAATGTCCGGTGTGTCCTGATGAGCAATCGAGCCGGTCGCTGGCACGGTTTGATCCCGTGCAAAGCAGCAGCCAGGTGGCAGGGTCACTCTGTCAATGGACGGCACGCACGGGGCGCATCCCGAGCAACTATTAACCCGCCAGCGG